CTGTGTCTTCGGGAGGCCGTTTCCGCTGCCCATCTTGCAGGCATGAGGTTGTCCTGGACCGACATGGTGTCTACGGCCTGCAGCGAAACCTGCTAGTGGAGAACATCATCGACATTTACAAGCAGGAGTCTTCCCGGTAAGCCGTCAGGGCCTCCTGTCGCTCCAAAACGCAGGGCCTGGGGCACAGCCTGGCAACCCAGCGGGGCTGAAGGGAAGGTACCAAACCAGCCTGCCCCTTCAGTTTGGGGATGAGAGGAGTGGAACAGAGAAGGGGAGGGTCTTGCTCCAAGTCACTCAGCTCAGGTGGTCTGACTCCTGGTCACGACTTCGCCTTCGCTCTCTCCGCCTGGGGCAGGGCTGGCTGTCCACTGGCAAGGTCCTTGCCAACCCTCTATTACTTCCTGCCCCGTGGGACTTCTCTATCTTCTGGAATAGAGACTAACTTTGGAACTAAGCCTCCTCTACCTCTTAATTCTTTCTATTCCTCAAATGAGGAGCACTGTGGAAGTCACTCACTAGCACAGCCGCAGCACAGCTGCAGGGGTGGAAAAGGCAGGGGTGGTTGGCCTTGCACTCTCGGGCCTCAGTGCCTGCCCTGGCCCGGCCCCTGACCCTCCCGCCACCTGCCCACTCCCCTCCAGGCCGCTGCACTCCAAGGCTGAGCAGCACCTCATGTGTGAGGAGCATGAAGAGGAGAAGATCAATATCTACTGCCTGAGCTGCGAGGTGCCCACCTGCTCTCTCTGCAAGGTCTTTGGCGCCCACAAGGACTGTGAGGTGGCCCCACTGCCCACCATTTACAAACGCCAGAAGGTATAAAGCAGCAGAGGGATGGGCATGTGGGGGTGGGGGTATGAGGCTGGGTCTCTAACTTCAGCCTCTTACTCCGCTTGGTTTTAAAGGCAGGCAGATCAGGGCTAAAGTCCCAGCTCAATGGGTGACCTGGGGTAAGACACTCGACCTCTCTGGCCATCACCTTCCTCATTTGTAAACTGGAGACAAAGATGTCTACTTCTGAGAGTTATTTTAGGATAAAGTGAGATAACAGATGCAAGCAGAGACTTCATATAGTGGACTAGATACTCTCAAGGCCCTCTCTCCATCACACAGCTACATTCTACATAAAATATAATTTAAAAATTATAATGATAGGCACACAGGACGTAAAGGAAACCTCTGAGTAGGGGTGAGGGCGGTGAGAGGAGCAGGGAGTGAACCGAGAGCAGAGCACTACATGGGGAGCGCAGGGGGCAAATGCTGGCCGTGTTACTGAGCTGGAGAGATGAGACGATGCTTTCAGACCCCTAAAAGGCGGGGGACCTGCAATGAAGACCCCCAAGAATCACAGGTTAAATTGGAATTGCAGGAACTAAAGTAATCAGTTTTGCCACCTGGCTTTTGGCAAAGGTAAATGCAAACTCTGTCTGAAAAAGGAAAAAAAGAAAGCAATAAAAAAACCTTAGTATAAGCCCTGAGGCTTTCCTTAGATTAAGAACAACAAAAGATAAGCTTCACAGCTGAAGATCCACAAAGAAATGTACCCTATTATTGAAGTCAGCAGAAACAAAACTTACAGATTTAGACCTCCAAGAAATTCAGATATGGAAATTATTAAAAAATAGAAAGTCACTGTGTGTAAAATGCTCTAAAAATATGGAATTAAAAAACAAGAAATACTAGACTGTCAAAAATGCAGACTTGATGAAGACTCAAATAGAACTTTTAGAAATGACAATACGATTGTTGAAATAAAGCATTCAAAGGATAGATTAAATGAGAGATTTCTCTGAAGAGAAAATTCGTGAACAGGAAGAGTAAACTGGGGGAAAAAAAACCTAGAAAGCAGCCCTGGGGGATGAGAAGGTTGAGAGTGGGAAGGTCTAACATACATCTAATCAGAGCCACATAATGAGGAAATAGAGAGAATGGACAAGACACAATGTTATCCTAACAGACAATCATGAAGAATTTTTCAGAGTTGATGGAAGGCATGAATCTACAGATAAAACATCTAACCCAGTGCCTGGCACTTGGTGAATACTTGGTAAATGTCTCTTTTGGTGGTAGAGGACATCCTCTCTTGACCTTCCAGAACCCATAGAATGTACTTCCACACGTCTTGGACAGTCTCATGCCCACTAGATCTCTGGTGATGCCCTGGTGATGGGGTGGAGGGGACCTAGGCAGCCCTGGCAGCAGTGGGTGGGGTGCGCCTCTAGACCAGGTCCCCTGGCCCTAAGTGTAGGCCTGTGTGTGTGGCAGAGTGAGCTCAGCGACGGCATCGCAATGCTGGTGGCAGGCAACGACCGTGTGCAGGCCGTGATCACGCAGATGGAGGAGGTGTGCCAGACCATCGAGGTGAGCCTGACGTGGGAGAGAGCAAACTTTCTGGGCTCCCAGGGGTGGGTCACAAGGACTGGGATGAACTTAGCCAGGCTGCTGGATCTGAGTCTCAGCTCTGCTCCTTACTAGCTCTGTGACTTTGGCCTAGTTACTTAACTTCTCTGTGCTTTGGTTTTGTTTGTTTTTAACTACATAAAATAGTGATAATGAGTATGATACGATGCCTACCTCACTGGATCTTTTTGAGAACTAAATATGATAATTTACTTCTAAATAAGCAAATAAAAACCAGGCCCAGAGAAATAGACAGCACTCAGGAGGCAACTTTAAAATACTGTTGTTATTTGCTCAGAGGAGATCTGAGAAGTTCTCATTGAATAAAAAAAAATTGTAACTACATATGGTGTTGATGTTACCTAGACATATTGTGGTCCTCATTTCACCACATATAGAAATGTTGAATCATTACATTGTATGCCTGAAACTTATATGATGGTCTATGTCCATTGCATCTTAAAAAATATTGTGTGATTGTTATTTCTGAAAAGATCTGGGAATCAGCAGCCCTTGGCTGGAGTTTGGCGCTGCCACAACTTTTTAAATTTGGGGAGTAACGGACAGGTCACTCTTCTTCTTGGCTCTCTGTGACTTGTACTAAGTGGGGGGTGGGCCAAGCTGCCGGGCGCTCTCCCACCTAGGCAGTCTCAGCATCATCACGCCCCACCTTTCAGGACAACAGCCGCAGGCAGAAGCAGTTGCTAAACCAGAGGTTCGAGACGCTGTGCGCGGTGCTGGAGGAGCGGAAGGGCGAGCTGCTGCAGGCGCTGGCCCGGGAGCAGGAACAGAAGCTGCAGCGCGTCCGGGGCCTCATCCGCCAGTACGGAGACCACCTGGAGGCCTCCTCCAAGCTCGTGGAGTCTGCCATCCAGTCAATGGAGGAGCCGCAGATGGCGCTGTATCTGCAGGTGAGGCCTGGGGGTGGGTGGCAGGCTGCATAGCGGCTAGATTGGGGGCCTTGGCACCTGGTGACCCGGGTTCAAGGCTAATCTCTGGCACCTACTTGCCCGATGGCCGTGGGCGAGTCACACCCTCTGAGCCCATTTTCTCCTTAAGAATTCGGATAGGCTTCCCCTCAGCGCCACCCGACCCCGCAGGACTGTGGTGGGCAGAACATTGGCAGAGGCTGGCACGCGCTTACTCTCACCCTCCTTTCTTCCCTACAGCAGGCCAAGGAGCTGATCAATAAGTGAGTAGGCGGAGCAGGGAGGGAAAGAAGGGGTTGTGCGGCTTCGCCGCCAGGGGGTGAGGGGCGGGGGAGTGGGGGAGGGGTGCTAGGGCATTTCCAGATCAGCCACCGCCGCTGCCGCAGGGTCGGGGCAATGTCAAAGGTGGAGCTGGCAGGCCGGCCGGAGCCAGGCTACGAAAGCATGGAGCAGTTCACCGTGAGCGTGGAGCACGTGGCCGAAATGCTGAGGACCATCGACTTCCAGCCCGGTGAGGGAGCCGGGCGCGGCTGCGGGCCGCGGGACCAGCGTCCAGACCCGCGGAAGGGGGCGGGTAGGGACGGGTGAGGCTTGGCTGCCAGAAAAGCAGGACACCACCTCACGGGGGTCTTTCCTTCCGCCCAGGCACTTCCGGGGAGGAAGAGGATGACGAGGTGGCGTTTGACGGAGAAGAGGGCAGCGTAGGGCCCGAAGAAGAGCGGCTGGAGGGTGAGTGTGGCCCAAGGGCCGTAGCGGGCAGGGCTGATGCGCTCCCGTCCCTTCCTCCGGCCATTGCCTTCCCTGTGCGACCAGGGCGCGCTTGCAGCCCCTACTCCTTGTAAGTGCCTCCCAGCCCCCAGCTGGAGGGGGAGACCCTGGCACAGGTGCAGAGGGACACTTTCCTTTTCCACCAGCCGCTCCTCGGGTGCTTGTGGGGACCCCGGTGGATGGGGAAGTAGAGGAGACACCCACGTGGGTGGGGAAAGGAGTGAGCCAGGTGTCGCCTTATTTCCTGGGGACAGGACTGCACTGACCCTCCCCTCGATGAGGAGACCTGCGCCCTGGCCCTGGAGGATCTGCGCAGAGACCACCGCGCTCCGCAGTTCAGCGGGGGAAGCTCAATAAAGGGCTAACGCATCCCGACCCGCAGCTTCTTTCATCGCTCACTGGCTCAGCCTCGGCTTCGGAGGCGACCCCGTCAGCGTCCCCCCTTCCCTGCCTCTGGGGCGGGGTGAACGTGGAGTGAACCCTTCTTGGGCGTCTACTTGATGTCAGGCACGGATTCCCGAGCCCAGGGCCAAGGGCAAAGCGTAGGGGGTGGTGTGGAGGGATCCGGACTTGAGTTGGTGGGGGACGTAGGGCCGATGGGACACAGGACCCTGGTTGACAGCCGTTCGCCTGGATGCTCCGCCTGTGGCACTCGTCCCCTCCCGCCGGCCTGGGAGACCTCAGCTCCCCTTGGGTTCCCACCCTGCTGTGGGAAGTTCCCCGCATCCCCACAACAGAGGCCAAAGGCTCTTCAGCAGTTTTATTAAAAACTAGTAACGCAGAGAGTGCTCAAGGTATTCCCGGGCCGCTCCAGCCCCGCGGGCCTGGATCAGTTCAGGCTGAGCAAGTGCCAGCCCGGGGGTGGGGGGTGGGGGTCGAGGTTTTCGGGGCCCCAGGCCCCGCGGGTCACTTGCCCACTGAGTCAAATAGGATGCGGTTCTGCTCCGCGCGCTCCCTCTGGCTCTGCGTCCGCGCCAGCTCCAGCAGGGTCCGCAGCAGGTGGAAAGTGAGGTCGATGGACAGCGGAGGGTCCTCCCGTCGCGGCCGCTCACCTGAGGTCCCGGATCCCCATCCGCCGGTCCCTGCGCGGCGGGGGAAGCGCTCGGCCAACAGCAAGAGGAGCGCGCGGGCTCCACCACCCTGGTTCCGAGCCCCGGGACTCCAGCGCAGACTCGGGTCCTGGACTCTGGCCGCCACCTCCTCCGGGCTCCACTGGTTGCTCCCTGGGCGCAACTGTGCCAGGAGCAGCAACACCGCCAGCAGCGCCGCGCGACCGGCCAGCCTCATGGTGCCACCAACCCTGGACGCACAGGGGGAGCGCAGGGTAAGGTGCGCGTGGAGCAGTCGCAGTTGGCGCCATTCCCCTTCCCGCGCACGTCCAGCGTCCCCGCCGGTCCCCTTCGGCTGCCTCCGGGTGCCCACAACCTTCCCTGCAGCCCTGGCCGCTACCCAGTCCTGTGCCACCCCGTCCTCTCGCCCTCCCCTTCCCTGTCAGCGGTCCGGTGGGGCGCAGAGCGCCAGTCCGGGTGCTGAGGGAGCCCGGGCGGGCGCTGGGAGCCACTCACAGGGTGCGGGAAAGGGCGTCTGCACCGCGCAGGACGGAGCTCCAATCGCGTCCCTCGGGGCGGGCTGAGCGTGCCTGGGGGAACACGGGGTCTGTCCCGGGACCGCCGCCAGCCTTATATAGCCCGAGGACAGCTCCCACTGACGTCAGCGAGGAGTCGGCGCTGGTCGGAGAGCGGTGACGGTGCCGCGGCTTAGAATCCAGCGGGTTGCGAGACCCCGAGGGGCGCGTCTCTGGGGCTTACGCTGGAAGCCACCGCGGACTCAAGTGAGCAAGGAGCTGGCTGGGGCATGAAGGCGGCTCCGGGAGCCCTGAGCGCCCTTCGCCGCTTAGAACAGGCGGCAGTGGCCCGGCCCGGTCCGCAGATCAGAGCAGTCCGGATCGCCAGCTTCTCTGGCACCGGAAAGGGTGGCCAGGCCGCGGGGGTGTCCGCGGTGCTGAACCTGCCCTGTGCCTCCAAAGGGACCGGCGCACTGGAAACCCCTCGTCCCAGTTACCTGTTTTGTAAACTGCGCCGGTCGGGACAGCACCGCTGGCGTGCGGCCACCACCGGAACGCCCACCCGAGCAGCCGCCGAGGCAGGCTGAGCCGCCACGATTCTTGATCCCATCCCAGCCCCAGGACCTAAATTCTGGGGCTGCCTGACTGGGGTACCAAAAAGCGGTGTGTGTGTGTGCGGGGGGCGGGGGGGGGGGGTCCGCTTCTGATCTCAGAGCGCTTTCAGACCACAAAACTGCTTCTCAGTTTGTCCCAAAGTGATAGTTTAGCCGAGGCAACTTTCCTCCTGGTAATCACAGCAGCAGTATTTCTGTAGCTTTGACCTCCAGGTTAAGATCACTTGGTAGAAAGTAAGGAAACAGTGTCTTAGTCCATTTGAGGTTCTGTAACAACAACAACAACACAAAAACAAAAAATAAAAAAAGCCCCCCCACAAACTGGGTGGCTTACAAATGACAAATATTTATTTCTCAGAGCTCTGGAGGCTGGGAAGTCCAAGATGGCAGTGCCAGTAGACTCGGTGTCTGATGAAGGTCTGCGTAACGGCCGGTAACTGGTGCTTTCTTGCAGTGCCCTCCCAGGGCATCTTTTATAACGGTGCTAATCCCGTGGGGGCTCTGCCCTAATCACCTCCCAGCACTATCACCTTAAATTTTCACCATGTGAATTTGGGGGTTGTACAAAAGTTCAATTTATAGGACGTGGGTTGAAGTTTCTATTCTGCCACTAACTTGTGGCATGGACAGGTCACCTCACCTCTATGGACCTCAGTGTCCTCATCTGTAAAAGAAGATTGGGCTTGGTGGTTTCTAGCCTTCTTTCCATCTCCAGAAATTTTGACTCCCCAGTATTTTTCTCTTGGATCTTACTCATTGCCTCTGCAGATTCCAGATTACAGTTTTGTTTTATAACATAGTTATGGAAGTAGCACATAGAGTTTGAGGGGATCCCCAGAGAACTGGAGCTGCACTAGGGCTGGGAACAGTTAGAGAAACAAATGTATCTATGAAAAGCAGGGGTAAATAGCATTTGCCAGGATATGGGAATAAATTAAAGTTGCCAAAGAGCATATGGTTCCACAAATATTTGTGGAATGCCTACTATGTGGTGAGCATAAGGCCATTATAAAGATTTTAGTGAATTCAAAAGGAGTCAGTTTACATTTTAGAGCAGAATGGGCCATTTCATAGGGGTGACCCGTTAAGTTCTGACCAACGACGGACCCCCATGAAAACCGATGTGCCCACTTTCAGGCCTCCCAGGGTCAAGCTGCATGGCTGCCAGGCGGAAGCAATGGAGCAAGGCAGGCTTAGAGCCGATGTGCCTTCCAGGACAGGTAGGAGTTCCAGATAACAGCAACACACTGGACAACAGCCAACCTACGGGGCAGGAATGGCATTGTGAGGAAGAGGGCGGACAGGGAGAAAGCAAAGGGCGAGAGAGAGAGAGAGAGAGAGAGAGAGAGAGAGAGAGAGAGAGAGAGAGAGAAGAGTGTACTGGAAGAGGAAGGGTTATCTCTGAGAGCATCCAGACTTAGGTCTCCTCCCTCCGGCCCCCTGTGGAGGGACATGTGGCTCCGGCCAGAGGATAACCAGCTTGGGCTCTGGGGCTGTCCCAGGGCTCTGTCTCCCAGACAAGAGCCTCAGAGTGAAACACCCGCAGTGGCCCTCCGGCCTTGCTCGGCTCTTACGCATGCCCCTGTCCAGGCTCCTTCTAAATCTGTCCATCTTGTACCAGCTGAGACCTTATCCTCAAAAAGGTAGCAACTGCCATTGAAAGTAATACTTTCTTCTCTTTTACTTTGCTTTAGTTTCAAAAACTGTTGCAAGAACACTAATGTTTACAGTTTGGTTCATAAGTCTATATTCCTTTTAGCTATGCTATTCATGTACATTAGGACCATGTCCTTTCTGAAGAGTTTCCTAGTTTTCCCTGTTCCCAAAGGCCCCTCACCTCTCATAATTTTAACTACTTATCTTGAGTTTTATTATCAACTCAAGATAAGTAGTTTCATCAATTACCTTCATTATTAGGGTAAAATAATACAGCCATACCCCAGTACTCATCAGCTTCAGAACTTGTCAAACCCCGTACTTGTTGCATTTTGATGAGAAAGAAACTGTTTTGACACCCGGGGCTTGCTCGGCACTTGTAGGTTTCAGCGCTCCTCCCAAGTACCGGAATGAATTAACAATGAGTACTAAGGTACCACTGTACTTTGCAGTGGACTAACCTCACCAGTGGACTAACCTAACCTCCATGGTTTTACCTTCCTGTCTAGCCTAGGTTGCGGCCCAAGGCACTGTCCCTGCAGCAAGGGTGGAGAGCTCGGGTGGGGTGGAGCCGATGGCTGGGGAGCAGGACCCTCCCCAGGAGGATGAGAGGAGGAGGTCAGCGGGCGGATGCGCTGGGACAGGTTCCATAGTGCATAAGAGGTGCACTGGGGGGTGTCTAAAGTAGCTCAAGGCTGAATGAGAATTGCTTTATCTACAACTGTTCATACGTGGTTCTCCCTTGAAGGGTGGGGGAGGGAACTGTCTTACCTGTAATAAAGGGGAACCAGGTAGAAGTTGGCTAGCTGCACAGCGGGCCAGAGCTACGAGAGAGAGAAGGTCAATGTTGGGGGCTGCCTCCACCACCCACCCCCAGACTCACTGCCTTGCCTGTCTTCTTCAACTCTGTAACCAAACACTAGTTGAACTGGGGGAGCGCTTCCCTGAGCGTGCTGCCCACATTGGGAATGGGGGAGTAGTCCCTGCTACGGGGCTCCTATGTCAGGAGGACCCCAATCTCTGGCACTTCTGGACTCAAGGAAGCAGGACAACAGGCAGCGGAGGTGGCAGCTCTTACACAGTAGTTGGTGGCGAGGGCGGCAGGGTAATCCTAAGGAGACAGAGAAGGGACGAGTGAACACTTGCACTCCCAAGCAGCTCCCACCTCCTAGGCCTACTATCACAGATGCTTCTGTTCAAAGAGCACAGTCCTGCCCCACACCTCCCCCAGCTCCTCTCCTCCCGAGCCTGGGACTCCACCACACACCCACCTGCCTCACCCCCCACCCCAAGCCTGCCTCACTCCCCTGGGCGTGCCAGCCGACAGCCAAAGATCTTCCCAGACCTGCCCAGCTCACCCGCTGGAGTTTGGCCCAGTTTTCCTGGGCTGACAGTCCATTGAGTGCCCCTACCAGTGGGAGGAAACAGCCTAGAAAACATGGGGCAAAGCCCCCCTAGGGAAGAGGAATGAAAGTGCCGTGAGCACCTAGTGCCCACTCTCCCTCAGTGCAGCTCTCCCTTCCCCCCTTCTGTTTCCTTCTGCTCACCTGGTCCAACAACATCTTCTTCAGAGCATCCACCTTGGTGGTGCCAGGGATGAGCCGGTCCAAAACCTTGTACCAGCCTCCTACTACAGGGCCCTGAAAGTAAACCCCGGGGCGGGGAGCTGTTGGGTTTTACATCACAAAGCTCCTCCCCCAAGCATTGGACACCAAGTTGCAGGGCAAGCACACACTCGGCTGGCCTAGCTGGCGAGAGGCCAAGGGAAAGGGACCACTGTCCAGTCTACCAGCAGCCCCGCTGTGGACAGAACTTACCACAAAGCCACAGCCCAGAAAGACCATGGTCACGGTCCGACTGATCCGGTGTTTCCGCAGACCCCGCCTCTCCACGAGTTGCTGTGAGATAATGTCACCCAGGCCCATCAGGGACCCTGTGCAGGGTACAGGATGTTGTCAGGACCCCTCCCAGGATGGGCTGCCACTCCAAGGAGGGAGATAAGTCTGCTGACTGAATGAGGCTCTGGCACTCTGGGCCCAAGGGCTCAATTCTGGGGCAAATGGCCAGTCCCTTGCTGCTGCTTCAAAGCTCTCCTCTCTCAAGGACAGTGCCACCTCATGTGTGCCCTGTGAGAAACTGGGAAGGGCAGCCATGAGCAGGCCAGTGCCCCAGAACTCTGCATTGAACAAGCAAGGGAGGTCCGAGCCAGAAGCTGAAGCTAGAGGAAGGAGAATCTGGCGCGTCAGGGGCAGAGAACCTTGGCCTGTCGGGGTTGCAAAGGCCTTCCAGGTATCTCAGAGGTATGGAAATAAAGGTCTGCAACCTCACATAGCCAGTAAGTGGCAGAGTCAAGGCAAAAACCAGGTGGTTTGAGTTCCTAGACAGTATTCTTTCCAGGACACCACACCATGAATAGGCCATGTGTAGAATGACAAGGAATCCTGTCTGTTTTTTTCCCCGCAGCCCAAGGCAAGACCTGGTCCAATGCCCCCCACCTTGGCTTGGGGTCTCTAATTGTAAAGAATAGCAAGAATAACTCTTTTTCTAAAACATGAGTGTCCACGGTCCCAGTGAAGAAGATGAGCTGGTACGAGTCCCCACAGCGGGGAGTCCTGGCCACCTCTTAGCCCAGTCAGGTAAACCTGCTTCCTCATTCCCAATCTCCAGTTGAGCTGGCAATGGGATTAGGGCTGCTTCTCCTCCTCCTCCCCCAGGCCTTTACACCCGCCCCCTCCCCTTCCCTTCCCAGATACACAGCTCTAAGCAGCCCTTGGCAGACACCCCCACCCAGAAACCAAGAGCGAAATCAGCACTATTTACAGAGCCCCCACCCCCACCCCCCCGTTCAGCTATGGTGGTGTGACGGTTTCTAGCAAATACACATATATTAGGCTGCCAGGGAGTGACCGTATGATCTCCAATTCGCCTGTCCATCTCGCTGAGTAATGACAGTCCCCCTCTAGCCCCGTAGCCACCACTGTCACTGTGCCCTCAATTAGCGCTGGGCAAACACATCCTTCAACCCCTTTCCCTGGCCGGGAGCTGGCTCTGACGTCCGTCCGTGCTGGCTGCACACTCACTGCTCTTCCCCCGCAGCTTGCACAGCCCTGCCCCTGAGCAGCCGCATCAGAGGGCCACGCAAGGCTGAAATTTAGCGCTGGGGCTGGAGCTGGGACACCTGCCGGTGCCTTAGGCTGCCGGCACCGCCAGCCAGGGAGCACTGCTGGGACCCCAGCACGCCCACCCAGGCCGCCGGGCCTCTCCTCTCTCTGCAACTGCCGTAGTGGGGGAGGTTCTGCCCGGAGCGCAGGCTAGTTACAACCTCCTAGAGGACAAGGGCAGAATCCTAGACACCTTCGTTCTCTCATCCCCGGCCACCCCTAACCGAGCCCCTGGCAGGTGCTCAGAAAAGAAACCAGTGAAAAATGTCAAGTGTACTGTCCCAAGCCACAGGACTACTCTGGGAAAGGACGTAAAGAACTCTAGGTCTAGCCCAAAGGCCCACCTGTCAGACTCAAGGTATGAGGACCAGTGGAACTGAAGGTTGGCTCCCCCTGGTTAGCACTTAACTCCCTATCCCCCTCCCTGACCGTGGGGTCACCAGCCGCACCTCCAGGCAGGGCAGGGAACTCCTGTGGCCGCGCACAAAGCGGGAAGTGATCCTAAGAAGTCCAGGGAGGGCGAACAGAAAGGCAGGCATTTGTTAAATGAAAAGACTAACACTTTGACATTCTACTTTAGCAAGATGTTTAGAGTTTACAAAACAAAGAGCTCTCACAGCCCTGGCTGGTGTGGCTCAGTTGGTTGGGTGTCGTCCCCACAAAGCAAAAGGTCACCAATTCCAGGCCAGGGCACATGCCTGGGTTGTGGGTTGAGCCCTGGGTCGGGGTGCGTATGAGAAGCGACCAATCGATGTTTCTCTTTCCCTCTTTCTCCTTCCCTTCCCTTCTCTCTAAAAATAAATAAAATCTTTTTTTTAGAAAAAGGGCTCACACACATTTAATCCTCACAAAAGGTCTGGGAGGTAGGGATCACACCTCCATTTAATGCCTTGGGGAGAAGTGGGACTTTGTAAGGAGTGGAGCTTGGGCCTGAACCCAGGCCTTCCCTTGATGAGGAGCAGGAGGCCAGGAAATTCCCAAAATAGGCCAAAACTTGGGCTTGGCGGCCAGAGGGCGCCAAGAGGCTCCTGTGGCTGCCATTCACAGGGGGTTCCTGCCTCAACCTGGCCCCAAAGTCCTGTGTATCAGAGGCACTAACTTCTCCATCTTTTACTGCCCTAAATGTGAGACCATCTCTGTTCCTTGTCACTCGTGGGGAGTGCAAGCAGCAACATTCCTGGGAAATTAACAGTCACAAAAAGAACTGTGTTTTCACTCTTCATTCTTGCCGACTGCCACACAACACGCTAAAGGTAGAGCAGGAATGGAAACCAAAGCCCCAGCTGCTAGCCCCATTGGCCGGGAAGCCTGCATGCAGCCTCTGAGGAAGAGAGGTTCCAAGCCCTTCACCACGCACACCAAGCCTGAGAGAGACCGAGGGAAAGGGCACCAGCAGGAGGAGTCGGCGATGGGAAGCTGTGTAGCCCCGCCAGTTCTGTCCATTTCAGACAGAACAGGACCCAGAGGTTCCTCCTCTGCCCACAAATCACCAGGCCCCGGGGCCTCCGCAACTCCAAGTGGCCTATGGCTTTGGTCCCAGCATAGAGCAAGGCCTGCATTTCTGGTCCAAGTAATTGTTTGAGCAGGAAAGGCTGACATTCAGATTCTTTACTGCATCCTCTCCAGCCCCAGGTTCCGGGCGTCCTCCTGGGCACATTTGGCTGGTCTGGACGCCCCAGTGCTCCTTCCTTAAACTTGTTTCCGGGGGTTGGGGCTGGAGGCCTGCAGAGACATACTGCCTGAGCCCTGCTGGGGCAGGGTGAGGGGCTGCTGGGCAGCGATGCCCCAATGCCAGGCTGGGCGCAGAGCCCAGCAGCAGACGTTGGCGCGGGCGTGACATCATACCCCTGGGTAGGTGCCAGTTCTCATGCCGTCACTCACCACCGGATTCAGCAGAGTGGGGGCAGGTCGGGGGAGAGCTGCCTCTGAGCACAGATGTAATTAGGACCCCCTGCCCCGGACTTCCCCAGCCTCTTCCTAGGCACAGGTGGGAGTAAGTTCCCTACTTCCCCTAATGTGTTCCTCTCCTGGCTTTTGTGTGTGGAGTCTTAGATGCAAGAAGATAAAGTGTTAATGGAAGGGAACAGGCTGAGGGGCAGAAAGTTGGAATGAAGGGCAGGATGTGTGTCCTTGAGTCCAGGAAACCTGGGTTGTCAGGTACAGCTACTGGCATGAGGCCAACAGTGCTGTTGACTCATCCTCCGCCCCCCCAGAAGTCTCCAACAACTAAACAGCTGCCTGGCATAGGGGCTTTGGTCTGGCAGAGCCCAGAGGAAGCTGGAGCCCCGCAGTGAAAGGGGAGAGTGCATCCTCCGGGTCTGGTCTGAATGTCCTCCCCGTTCCTGACCTGGGCCTATCCTACTGCCAGAAAGTGAGGAAAAATGGAGGGGTCTGTAGCTTGTCAGGCATCTAAGCCCTGACCAGCTGGGGCTACACTCAGCATTCCAAGCCCCCAGTAGTCTCAAGTGGATAGCAGTGCACTGGCAGGTGCCCTCAGGTCTAATGCCAACTCTACCACTGGCGACGTGAGGCCTTAGTGCACGCCCCTCCCCCCTCGCCTCAGTGTCCTTCTCTGCAAAATCAGGGCTAGACTGATTGAGCCCTTACACCCTGGTTTAATTCAGACTCCAGAAAAACCAGTGTCTGCTGCAGCTCAGCTGCTCCCACAGCAGGACCAAGGTAGCCTGAGATAGACAGAGCTGGGCCCTGGGCCCACGGAAGACTGGAAAGACTCTCAAGAAAGGATGGGAGAAGGCTAGCTCAAATTCTGCAGAACACACAGTAGACCTTTCCCAGGCTGCTCTGTTACTGACTCAGCCTTGACCCCAACTCAGTGTATCAGACACTTCTTTTGAACCATTTCAGATCTCCTTGATTCCCTTATCTCTTACTCCAGCCACTACTGCAGTTCAACCTAACAGATTCTTGCCTCTGGTCTATGCCACACCTGGGGCTGCCCTGTTGATGCTTTACTTGGAGACTGCACATGAGCAATCTCATAGCACATGAGCAATAACATCCCACGTGGCCAATGTGGGATGGCAGAAAACACTCTTCTCCTGTGCAGCCCTAAGAGGCATTTCCAAGAGCTTCTCAGTCAATTCTAAGGGACTGGGCAGGCAGGTTCCTTAAGCAGTGTCTACTTCACTAATGTATACCTATATTACCACTCGCTCTTCGGCCTATGGGAGTCCTTCCTACTCCCTTACAAAATACTTACCCAGAAGCTTCACACTCTGCTTTTTGGAGAACCAAGGCCAAGATAGTTGGCTATGTTCAGATTGTTTTTTATTGATTGATTTTGTGTGAGAGAGAGAAGGGGAGGGAGGGAAAGAAGAGAAACATCTATTTGTTGTTGTTCCTCTTATTTATGTATTCATTGGTTAATTCTTGTATGTGCCCTGACCGGGGATCAAACCCACAACCTTGGCATACTGGGATGATGCTTTAACCAACTGAGCTACCCAGCCAGGGCTCACATTCAAATTTATGGCAAGTGAAATAAACACCTTTATAAAAAGAATAGCTTGCTGTGCCTGGGTTGCCAACACTAATAGAACACTCCAGGCCAACTCCTGGGGCTTAACATTTTTAAACCTCCAAAGCCTTTTCACAGAGACAATTCCTACACTGACTCTGTGGGGTCACAGAGCTAAACTCGAGTTCCATGAGGACACTGCGGCTCAACGAGGTTTACTGACTTGCTCATGTGGCTACTACTAACTGTTATGGCTCTGAGATTCAAATCTTGGTCTTCTAACTCCAAGTCTGAAATCTCTGTTCTGTTTTCCAGCGTGATGACCTACCCATTACCTTTGGGGTCTACTGTGCTGGGATCTAAAAACAGCTCCATGAGCAATTTCTACTTCCTTCCTTTATTTTTAGTTTGATCCAAATACACTAAGCAGCAGGGAAGAAAAAGTCTGAAAGGTTTGGAAAAGTCTGAAAAAAGTGCTGTCTAGAGGTTGCTTCAGGACTGAGCTGAGCTGTCGGCACAGAGTCGGGGAGGCTGCGGGTGCGGAGCCGCAGGGCTCTAGCACTGATAGGCAAGCACCTGGGTTCAGCTGCCTATCTGAATGCAGGCCCCTTGGAGCTCCAGCTCCTGCACTCATCAGCTGCAGATGCCTTGAGCGGGGAAACACAAGGACTATCCTTCCCTCCCTATTCTTGATGGCCACGAGGGGGAACCTTCCTTCCGGCAGTTAGGGGCCCTGAAGGAATCTGAGGTTGGGCAAAGGGCCCAGCGTGTCAGTTCCCATCACAGCTACACAGTCCAGCATGAGTCACCACACACGTAGCCAGGTGAGTCATGCAGGCTGACGGACACTCAGAGGACAGGACATAGGGTGGATGGGCACAGGAGATTGGAGAAGGGCCCAGGGAGGGGCAACAGAGTCCACCTTGTGGCCAGTCACTCAGTGAGGTTTCCAGTGCTGATGGGGGGCTCTTCCAGTAACAGGACCACTGTTCCATCCTGGTTTTCAGTATACCCACCCCTCTCAACAATCTTCCTCTCAGAAAGGCCACGGTCCTCATCAGAATCCAGTTCCCTTCCTCTAAACACAGGTGAGACCCTATCTTAACCTGACCAATCTTGCACTGCCGCACCAATCACACTCCTTATAATCCTCCCCCTACTAAACTTGCTTGTCTCTGTGCCGTCCTTCTCACATTACAAAAATGGTAACAAATGCAGAGAAGTCACTGGGCTACCTTTGTGAGGTTGCTACTCAATCACTGGATGTGGAGTAAAAAAAAATCCGTGATTAGTATATTGTTTGGGGATACATACATAGGTAGTAAAACCATAAGAAAAGCAAAAGCATGATATAAACAAAACTCAGGAAAGTGGTTATCTCTTGGGGGTATGAATTAGGGACAGGTGTACAAGGGACCTCAAAGTAGGTACTCATACAGGATTATTCAGTTTTAATACTATTAGAACTGTACAGCTTTGGCTGGTGTGGCTCAGTGGATTGAGTGCCGGCCTGCAAACCAAAGGGTCACTGGTTCAATTCCCACTCAGGGCACACGCCTGGGTTGCAGGCCAGGTCCCCGGGGTAGGGGGGAAGGGTGAAAGAGAGTCAACCACACATTGATGTTTCTCTCCCTCTTTCTCTCCCTCCCTTCCCTTCTCTAAAAATAAATAAAATTTTTTAAAAAAAGAACTGTACATACATGTCTTTTTAATAAAGATTTTGAAAACTTTATTTTTAGATAGAGGTGAAGGGAGGGAGAAAGAGGGAGAGACACAGAGATGCGAGAGAAAAACTGATTGGTTGCCTCTCATAGGCACCCTGATTGGAGACCAAATCTGCAACCCAGGCATGTGCCCTGACCAGGAACAGAACCGGCTATCTTTTGCTTTGCGGGCCAGCGCCCAACTACCGGAGCCATACCGGTCAAAGCATATGTCTTAATCATTCTTTTGTATGTTAGGATGTATTTCACAATGAAAAATACTAATAAAAATAAAGTAGGGTAAGAGTCCTGATTCCAGCACCTAGTAGACATGTGATCTAATGGGGACTCAAGTAGTCCTAGCTCCCAGACCTTCGCGGGGACCGTATGAGACAATGTGTGTGAATGTGATTTGCACACTATAAAATGTTACAGGAACATTTGTTTGATCAGTTTTCTAAATTAAGGCCTCCAAGGATAGTATCTTTATCCTGAAGGGATTACAACTCAGCTTTCTGAGGACTAACAAATCCTACTTTACAGCTAGGCCAACTATGCATATACTTTTCCTTAAGGGGACCCACCCTTCAAAACAGATTGGAGACAGCTTGGGGCGAGAGACAGCCAACTCTTCAAGGGGGACGAATAGAAGAAAAAAGTGAGAGAGGTTGGGTGGCGTAAGCTTCTGCCTTCCAAGTTATCTACTCTGGTCCCACTCAGGTCCCTGAGGGACACTCACCAGCTGTCAGGATCTGTACTTTCCACGGGTGAGCAGTCAGTGCCCGCTGGTACGCCCGCCAGAGCGCCATGCTTCCTGTCAAACCAAGAGAGGGGTTCACCCCCACTGCCCCTCCTCACCATTAAAGAGACGCGGGACTTTCCCTTGTGCCCACTCCCTCTCCCCCTCCCGCTTTCAGTAAGTCCATCCTCTAGGGCCTCAGGAGGGATGCTTCCTGAACAGCTTCCTGTCTCAAGGGTCGCCTGAAAAAGTCAGGTAAAAGAGGAAGACTGTGGGTGACTGTGGAATCCCGGTGGCAGCCACCCGCCAACCCATGCCAAGCCCTGAAGCCGGGCCACCTAGGGGCCTTGGTCCTGAAGACGCGCTGTCGCGATGACAGGTTTGCTCTGGCTTGCCATCCAGAGCCCCGTCGATCCCCAGATTCAGACTCTTAGTTGGAACCAGCCCGCATTTTCCCAGAGTCCAACTCCATTCCAGGAATAGGACCTATAACTTCGGGTTTGGAATTATCACACACACAGTGGGCAAACTTGCCGAGCGGAAACAGGAGCCGCTCACAGCGAACCCAGGGATACTCACCTGGGACGAGATCAGCCCCTCCCCACGTGACCTGAGCGGGCGCGGAAACTTCCGCCGTGAGGCCCGCCCCTTCCGCCTGGCTGGCCGGGAGGCTGCCCCCTGCAGCCGGAGCAGGAATGGGAGTGGACTGATTGGTCGTTAATACTCGTGGAAAGCGGCTGAGCCCGGGTGGAGCAACCGCTTTTCCAGGTTGACCAAGCCGGGTCTTGGTGTGGGCCTATCATTCTCCCCACTTTGGTCCGACCCATCTCCTTCTGCCCCTTTTCCTGCTGCTTCTCAGCCTGGATAGACCCTTGCTGTTCCCGCGCCCCGGAACTGGCCAAGGTTCTGCCGCCCTCTCAGTCTCAGGAGTCAGTTTGGAAACTAGAAGCCAGTTAAGCGTGTGCCTGTTACCGAACTGTCTCTGCGTTCTTCACTAGCCTCAGTGGTGAGCTCCTGAGTGCGTGGGATTGGGTCTTGTTCATATCTGTCGTCCTCATAGCAACTAGTTCAGTGACTCAGGAAGTTTAGGTACTGACTTCCTAATTAGCCGACTGGGCAGCCTTGGTCATCACTAGACTTGAACTTAAGGTTCCTCCTCAACTGTGAAAAAAGGGGGTTGGACTATGTGTTTAACAAACTGGGCTCGTTTTACGGATTTATGTTTGTGAGGTAGGTACCACTACAGATTCTTTACCTCAATTTTATGTAAAACACACACACAGCCACTTTTAAACAAAGGGGCCCACAACTAAAAGTGTTTGTAAACCAACAGATGAGGTAATTTCCTAGTTACCCTTTTCATCTCTAACATTCTAAAATTTTGTGAATATAGTGCAATATCCTCCTTAGGGAGGTGGAAACTCCTCCAAGATCCTTGGCAGTGAGTTTTCAGCCTCGCAGCCTTAGTCTAACTATATCCAGGGAGCCCACACTTCAGGAGGCAGCCGTATCTGATTCTTTCAGGCTGCCTACCAGGGCAGCTCCGGCCCCAATTTACAAAGTTCCTATTATGTATGAGGCAGAGAGAATTCTGTCATAGGTTCTGGACAAACAGTAAGGAAGCAAGAGAATTTGATGTTACAAACCTTTAACTAAAGACCAAATGTGAAAAGTTGTGAAGTTGTATTCTGAAGGTAGATTGTCTAGGTTAGAATCCCAGCACCATTATTTAGTTATGTGACTTTATTCAGACTGCTTAACCGCTCAGAATCAACTATTAAGTGAAAGGGGGCAATACCTACCGCATGCAATTAACATATGCAAAGTACCTGAAATAGATCAAGTGCTTAAAAAACACTTGTTTATCCTCTTTTCTTCCTTCCCTCTTGGGAACACATGGGAGAATAATCTTACTGGAGAAATCTGGGAAGGTCCTTGGTTAGGATGGAATTTGAGCTGGAACCTTGAATGATGAATAGGACTTAGGTGGAGATGCTAGAAAAGGACACTCCTGGAGGAGGGAGTAGTGTGAGAAAAGGCACAGAATAGAGAAACCCATGGATAGCATGAAGTGGATATATTGGGAGGGAAGGTTAGGAGTGGCTTTGGGAAGAAGGGTGTTTATATTAGAGGAGAGCAAGGGCTCAAAGCATCTTCCTTCTTTTGGAGGTCAAACTGTGGCTGACTCAGCAGCAGGAGCAGGGTTGGCAGCACCAACATATGGCTTCAAGAGCATGGGTCCCCAGGTCCCATCATTTTTTACCACTGAAAGTGGGATTTCATGTCAAGGGGCTGCTGTGTAGAATGAGCAAAACTTCAGCAATGGGAGGCACTTCCCTATCAATCAGCTCAAAACCAGAACTGGGCACTTCCCTATCAATCAGCTCAAAACCAGAATTGGCACCACCTGAGCTGGGTCACAATAGGATGGTGCAATACTTGGCTCCTCTGCAGACGTGGGTTGTGGTCCCTCTGCTACTAATAGTCTGCACTGCCTCCAGGTCTATTTCCTCTTCTGTACAGGAAGGGAATTGATGTATTTGATTCTTTCCTTAAAGATTTTCTGGCAGATGATAAATTTCCTACACTTAAGAGGCAGAAAGCTATTCCCAGATATTTGGCCAATCAGTCGAGTGCCAGACGGCTTTGTTCCAGATAGGAACTATACTAACCTCCACTCCCTTCAATAGAAGCTGGCTGAGTACTTTTCTCTGTAAGAGTTTCTGAGGTCATCTGACCACTTACCCCACACCTCCGATTGTTCTATGCATTCCAAAATTATGGTTTGCCTATTTCTCATTGCTGGGGTATGTCCTTGCTTAGGAAGCAGTATCACAGTCATGATGAGTCTGCAGCATCCCACAAAAGGATTTTAACAATGTGAGCTATAATACAGCAGGTCCTCAAATAACATCCTTTCATTCAACACTGTGTCATTATAATGTTGATGAGATGCCACAGGAACTCTTATGTAAATTCACGTATGATAAAATTGGTTTCATTATACATCATTCACAGAACCACCCTGACCAGTGTAGCTCTGTTGGTTGGGCATTGTCTCACAAAGCAGGTTCGATTCCCGGACAGGGCACATGCAGGTGCAGTCCCCAGTCAGGGCATGTATGAGGCAATGATGTTTTTCACCCTCTTTCTCCCTCCCTTCCCCTCTCTAAAACCTTAAAAAAATATATATATTGTACTTGGGTTCTAAACATCTCCTAAATATAGGTTTGAAATAAAGTAGCTAAACATGTTTAATAAGTCAACAATGTGACAATATCATGAAGGATCAAAAACCATGACTTGTAGAAGAATGATTAAGGTAACTGAAGATATTTAATCTAGAGAAGACTTGGGAAACACATGATAGCTATTTTAAATACTTAAAAGGGCAATCAAAGAGAAGAATGACTAGATTTTCTAATACCCATGGTAAAACTTATAGAGGGATACTCTGACTGAATATAAAAGATGTTTTAAAACATGACTGTCTAGGAGTGTTCAAGTAGGGTCAGATGATCAGTGATTAGGAGTATTTCCTAAGCAGGACCAAGTAAGATCTGAGCCACTGTTCTATTGGTAGTGTGTTTGTGGTGTTCCTCAGTTAAAGTACTACTATAAGCAGCTTCAGTCCAATAAATTACTACCTCTTCCCCACACCCCCATGGGCTTGCATGTTGGTTACTCTAAGCAAGAAGCTGGGAGCCTTCATGTAGATACCCTTTCCAGTTCTCCAAACATCCACTCACATGTGGTCTCAAAAACACTCAGTACCTTTACTTAGCTTTACCCATTTCACAATATGCTCAATATGAGCAATTTGACTCCCAAGCCTAGGTCAGGCCTGAGTGTTTCTTGTGAGCCAGAGTTTTAGGCTAAAGAGCCTTGAGAGTTTGTGGAGGGCAAGGCCCCCTTGCCCACAGGGGGCCGTGATGACAGCAGAAGTTGATGGAAGGAGAGGTATCTAAGGAGCCCTGGGGAGGCAGGTCTAAAGGTCAAGGCCTGGCAGCATCACTGTCCAAGAAGGCCCCAGTTCCCATGGCCTGTGCACGGGGGCCATTTGTACTTGGCAGACTACATTCCAAGGGTCCTGTGTAGACCACAACTAGGGACTGGGCAGAAGGCGATGGCTGGGTGGAGAGAAGCCAGGCTCTTCAATAGGGGAGGACGGTTGAAACATAGCATTGAACTGGGCTTGGCTCTCAAGCTGCATACGGTGGCCCAGTGGAGAGGTGAGTCCACGGATAAAATGGATCCGAACCAGCCCTGACTGCCCCCCAGACACGAGCCAGCCATAGGAGTCCAAGTTTGGGCTGAAACGTACCTGTGAAGAGAATAGAAAACAAAAGAGAGATGCCCATGATTGGTGCTTTAGGGTGAGTCCTAGCTATGAGAGCCAGAAACATGGGCCACAATCTGAAAGGACAGGACCATGAGTGGGTGACCAGGAACAAGAGGACAACAAACAAGGTAAGCTCTTAAAGATGAGCTTGCCAGAAGCTTTTTTCCCTCCTTAGCCCTCTTGGTTGACTTTTCATCTCCCATTTCATTGACTACAGGCCCAGAGTTGTGAGAAAATGAGAGTGAAGGGAGGAGGAGATGAGAGACAAGGTTCTTACCTTATGAACAGCCTCCAGCGGCAGCCTGTCCAGGCAGAGCCGAGAATGCACCTCTCCCTCCTGCATACGCAGCATTGGTTCTCTATGGAGCAGACCGTGGAACGAACTCTGGGAAGGGGCCGTGTAATAGGAGAAAGCAAGCAGCTTCTTAGTTTTGCATCTGTGTGCTGGAACCCTTTAGAACTCCCTATTATATAAGGACTAAAGTTTTCTACTTTTTCCAATACCACACCCATTCCCCTGGCCCCAATTTACCAAATCTGTGTCTTGAAAGAGCAAGTAGTGATGGTTGACAGTTTCAGCATAAGTTCGAGCCTTGGGAGGGTTGAGGGCCCCAGATGAAGCAGAAGAGTGGTCCTGACCTTCAGGACTATCCTGATAGGGCATCAGATCTGCTTTATATATAGGCTAAAAATGAGACCATGAAATTGGGTTCTGTAAGACCGAAGACAGAATATAAGGTAAAGCTGAAGGAGTAGTTCATCATCGCCAAGCCCTTACTGTATGAAATGTTAAAGGGACTTATCCAAGAAAAAGGAAAAGATCAAAACTATGAACAGTAAAATGACAACAAACTCACAATCATCAGCAACTGAAGCTTAAAAAAAAACCCCAACAATTAAGCAAACAACTAGAACAGGAACAGAATCACGGAAATGGAAATCACATGGAGAGTTATCAGCAGGGAGGGGGTGGGGGAAGAATGGGGGAAAAGGTACAGGGAATAAGAAGCATAATTGGTAGGTACAAAATAGACAGGGGGAGGTTAAGAACAATCTAGGAAATGGAGGAGCCAAAGAGCTGATATGTATGACCCATGGACATGAACTAAGGGGGGGGGGGGGGAGCTGGAGGGAGGAGGGTGCCAGATGGAGGGGGATAAAGGGGAGAAAAAAAGTGGGACAACTGTAATAGCATAATCAATAAAACATACTTTAAAAGAAAGACTGAAGGTAGAATAAAAGTAAAAGAGATAAAATTGGTTTGGGGCAGGAGAGACTTAAAGATGAAGAAAGTAGTATGTTTAAACATATGTTCAGATGCACTAGGGTAGGGAATAGTATGTGCAACTCTGTACCAAGACTCCCAGGGATAATATCATGGCTGGGAGACCTAATACTAATTTGTACTCTACTACTAGTTTGTAGTACTAATTGGGGAGGTCGTGGATTAGGACCTAAGACATGGTGCTGTCATAAATATTCATATACGTACAAATCTTCGCTCTACAGGTCGCTTGACAGTTATTGGGTTCAATGCCATATCAGGCAATATAGCTGCAATGAGCTCTCCAGATGTATCTCCTGCGGCTATTGTCCCAAGCCAGTCGGATCCTGAAAGACTCTAATAGGAAAAGACAGATTTTAGTCACTCATGCAGTCAGTTCTGTGAACTGATAATAACTGCAATCTCAGGGGGAAGAGACACATACACAAACAAAAATGAGTTTACCATAACCCATATCCCTGGTGATACAGTTACCATACACCTATCTTCTATCCAAAACTACTGCCTCTTTCTGGCCACCACTAGGTGAGTAAATGAATCATTTTCCTGCATAATGAAGATTTCAAAGACAGGAGCTCACCCAGACAGTGCCTTTTCGAGGAGCAGTGAAGTAGGCCTTGTAACCAAGGTAACCAGCATCAATATAATGAATTCCACAGAGTCCATAACTATAAGAGAAAAACAGAACTTTCCTTTTTCTAAGATTAAATTCATTTCTTCTCCCCATGTCCTTCCAAAATTTAAACCACCTCAGTGAATGAAACCCACACCACCCCCCCACAATAATCTGGCACACTCTGCACCCCATCCCCTAGAGTCTGTCCCCTGAGCTTCTCCTATCTCCACCCTGCCATACGAGGCATAGCAGTTGTCCTGAGCCACAGTGACACCATTGTAGGGGGGCAGCCAGGCCAGCTCTGTACTCAAGAAGCGCTTGATAGAGTTTATTGGTTCATAAGGTCGTCGAAGGTCCCAGAATTTGATTTTCCGGTCACTCCCTGCAGACACTATGAAATGACTGTGGAAAAATGGAAGATGAGGGAGAAGATCAAATCTGAACAAGCCTGGAACAGTCCTCTGGTCCCAGCTTCAACCACCACCCCCCCCCCCGCCCCGGCCCCGCTCTCCTATTCCAACCTGTTGGCTTTGCACCACTGAAGACTACGCACAGCCTGGTCATGGGCTAGGAAACACTGGAAGGGGTAGAGCTTTAAGGAGCCATCGGAGAGCTGTATTCGCTGCAGGGGTGAGTTAGTGGGAAGGTTCCAGAAAACCACCATGCCTGAGGTAGGGACAGAACATGTAGGTATTAAGGCAGGTTCTCCTGTGCTCTAATTACTGTCTCTTATCTTCTATCCTCAGATCTGATCCCTTGGAAATGACAGGGATCGTGATTAGCTAGCCAACATTCCCTCCATTGTTTAAAGACTCAATCTGATATTTTTAGTTCCAATTCTCAGCAACGACTAATATTTTAGTCTGGGACCTGCAGTTGAAAGGTAGGTTGACTGCACTCAGTAGCCTCTACTCATTAATAAATAAAAGTAAAGGGATTTTAAAAGAACATAAACCCTCTAGGACAGGGCTGGCAAACTATATAGCCCATGGGCCAAATACAGCCTGCCGCCTGTTTGGTAAATAAAATTTGACTGGAGCACAGCCACATTCATTCATTTACCTAATGTGTATGGTAGCTTTCACTTCACAATGGTGGAGCTGAATAGTTCCAACAATGGCCAAACAGCCCACATAACATAAAATATTCACTATCTGGCCCTTTACAGAAATGTTTGCCAACTGTGCTCTAAGACAAAGAGAACAGGCAAGGAGCCAAAAGCAACAAAATACAGAGGAGCAGAAAACAAATAGACAAACAGAAACTAACTTGGCTGACCCAAAACAAGCTGACCCCTTACCAGGTGCCAGAGAAGGAGGTAATCAAAAATGTAACTTTGATAAAAATAAAAGACAAAATAGAGAACAATGGAATTTAATAAATAAAATTTGGGAAAATATATGTAGCTAAAACCTTTTATACATAAACTCAGGAAAAGTAGCATCTATAAACCCTTCTTGAAGAAAATGTATTGACAGTGATTTACAGCTAAGCAACATAAATAATTCAAATGGAAGGGGAGGCAGATGAAAGGACTGGTAGAGACTTGAGATCATTTCAATATAAGATAAGGATTAAATAACTTTGGGAATTAAGATAGCAAAATAGCATCAAGTTGCATGTACCTCAACAATGTAAAAATAATATCACCAAAAGAAACACAATTAGGAGATGGTGGGAAGGATGATAAGAAATGTACTAATTTCCTTATCTACAGAGCAGAAAGGCCACTGATGATGTCCTAAAAATAAACTTGTCATTTAAAAATGACAACCTAGTCCTGGCTGGTGTGACTCAGTGGATTGAGCGCTGGCCGGCAGAACAAAAGATCAATTCTGAGCCAGGGCACATGCCTGGGTTGTGGGCCAGGTCCCCAGTTGAGGGCGTGCGAGAGGCAACTGATCTTTTTTCTCTTACATGTTCTCCTCCCTCTTTCTTCCACCTCTCCCCCCTCTCTAAAAAACCAAATAGATAAAGTCTTTAAAAAAAATAAAAATGGAAACCTAATTATCTCCGACTACTTAATGTTATTTATAATCTTTTATTTTTCCTTTCCAATCTTAAAAGTATCTTTTAAGGAACTAATGTCTCTGTGGTAAAGACATTTATTGGGAGCTCAGCTAATCTTTCAGTTTCATTTGTCTTTTTCTTCTATAAAATTAAAGTATAATTCAATTGAATACCTTTCAATTTAAAATAGCTTAGAGTATGATCCCATTTTTAAACAGATTATATTCATTTATTTTTAGGGAGAGGGGAAGGGAGGGAGAAAGAGGGAGAGAAGTATCAATATGCAAGAGATACATCGATTGGTTGACTCTTGCGTGCCCCCAGCTGAGGACCTGGCTGGCAACCCAGGCATGTGCCCTGACTGGGAATTGAACCACGGACATTTCGGTTCACAGGCTGGAGCCACACCTGCCAGGGCTGACCCCATTTCTTTTTATCTGTATATACGCATAGAGAACTACATGAAATGATGTTCATCTACTCAATTATTTTTTTGAATAGAAAAATTCTAGTACCTTTTTTCTTTGTATTTTTTTAACATTGCTGGAATATTTATAACTATGTAATGCTCAGCACTGAATCAAAAAGGAAACAACCACCCAAAACAAGCATATATGAAAACCTAAAGAGCAACAGCTCCCTACATTTTGTTTTGTATTTTTACCATTATAGTATCCAGCAGCCAGGTGGTGGTGGGGCCGGGTGGGCATCCAGGCCAGGCTAAGGCACTGACCACACTCAGAGGGGTCTGACAGTTGCATAGACCCCACCTGAAGGGTTGCCACAGATTGTACCTGCCGGGACAAAGAGATGGGACTAGGGTTAGGGTTCCCTACTGTCTGGAACAAACACTCGAATTAGTGTGCAATCCAGCAGGAGAGGAAGATCTCTCAGAGTTAGAAAGAGGCTCATGGAATCAGTAAGGGGGGCTTTAGAAGATGGAGCCTCGGGCGAGGCAGCAGGTTCCTCACTCACCTTATAGATGGCGGGCTTCACTGCATCTGTGAGGGGAAAAGAGAAGTAACAGATACTCTAGATCCAGAGGACCGAGGTCCCAATTAGCCTTGGTCTTAGATCAGCACCCCACCCTTTCAAATAACACTTTCCCTTACATTCTTACCTTCCCACTGTCAAATGCAGAAACCCACCTCACTGCCCCATCTTCTTCCTTCCTCCTGTTATACCTGGGAGTATCTTTCCTGTCAGAATGGCTCATCTCTCCCACTCTGCTCTCTTCTGATCATCCCCCACCTTTTCCATCTCCCACCTTTGCTCTTTGGTTACCTGTCTTTCCTCCGCCATTATTCACTTTCTCTCACCCTACCGGGTCATTCTTACATTCACATGTAAACATGCACTATTGTCTCCTATCTAAACCAACCAAACAAAACCCTTCCTTTACCCTGTAACTGTTCCCTTCCACAGCCAAACTTCCTGAAAGACCTGCCTATCCATTCTGTCTTCACATTCTCACCTCCCATTCCCTCAAGCTACTCCTCCACCAGATCACCAAAAAGGGGCTTTCTCAGGGTTCAGTCCTGGATGCCCCCTTCTTTACTCAGTACAATTGAAAAACAAATAAATTCAATAAACAGAAGCTGCCTTTCCCTGGGACCCTCCTCTTCTTGCTCATCTTCAACTCTGTATTTTCTCCCTCTCTTCACAACAGGAATGTGTTCCTGTGCATGTGTGGTGGCGAGGGCAGAAGAGGCTGAAGATAAGACTGAGAGTGTGGCAGGGGAGACGAGCCCCACTGTCAGCCTCGGCCTTTAGGAGCTCTTTACACAGCCAATCAGCTGTGGCAGCAAGAGACAGAGGCCTTAGGGCACGGGAGAACAGGGAAGAGGGGGAGATAAAGGTAATGTGCTGAAAGAATGCAGTTAGAAGTCTGCAAGAGTAATAACTGCAGACTGCTGAAGAGAGAGGTCAAAAACAAAGTGTGTGAAGTCAGAATGGGAGGTGCGGCTGTGTAAGGGTGTCATCACCCTTTCTACTCAAGAGGGTGGGCCTAGGGGGATTTCAGGGGACGCCAGGCCCTACAAAGCTCTGGCCATCGCCACAAAGCCCCATTCGCCTTGCTGTGCTACTCACCTGGGGGCTGATGAGCCAGCAGGGCCTCGGGATGAGGCAGACTGAACAGCAGCACCTTCCCGTCTGAGCAGGCAAGAGCCAAGAGACCCAACCGGGGCAAGAGAGGAGCCTAGAAGGTGAGACCAGATCTGCACTGAGGCTTGCTGCCTTCAGGAGCCTCAGAAAACTTTTGAGGTTCTGGTCTCTGAAAATATGATATGGAGGTGCTGGAAAAAGACGCCATCCACCACCCTCCAAACTCTGTTCCTCCAACTCTGGGAACATCCAAGGCCTCTTAGTCCCGGCTCTGAGTCCTAAGGCCATTACAAAACCAACTGGGAGGTACCTGCCGAGGGGTGCCTGGAAGTTCCCATGCTCCACTGGGGCAGAACTTAAGGTCCCAGACACAGCCATGGTCAGAAGCAATCCCATAGACAAAGTGAGCTCTGTTGCCAGGACTGAGGAGAGAAATCATGTGGGGAGAAATGAGTAGAAAGAAGGGGACCAGAGCTGCCGGAGCCTGTGTCCCCCCCGATCTCAAGCCAATCCAAGCCTGCCTTCCAACCTGGACTCTGCCCAGTACCATGCTGCCCTCCTCCACCGCCCTCCTGTGGCAAGGGCCCAGCCCTGGCTCACCAGCTTTCATGCTGCAAGGTCCCAAGGCCCCAGAGCTGGAGCAGCCCAGGGCCCGAATGGAGCTGGCTCAGCGCATGTGTCTCATTCATGTCAGGGCTGGAGAAAAGGGCCACGTACTGCGAGGCCGCCGCCCCCTCTGGCACTGGGCACCAGTCCAGAGCCCAGAGAGGTCCCCCTGTGAAGAAGGACACATCCCCGCGCTCTGGGTGTGCCGTGATGGAACTAAATCTAGAGGAAAGTCCAAGAGGGGATGAAAAAGAAGTTACTAAAAGGCAATGATAACTTTACAAGTGGATAGGTAAATAAACTGTGATACATCAATTACTTTGCACTACGAAGAAATGACCTATCAAACCATGAAAAGACATGGAAGAACCTTAAGAGCATATTACTAAGTTAAAGAAGCCCATCTCAAAAGGCTAATACTGTATGATTCCAACTACATGCCCTTCTGGAAAAGACAAAATCACGGAGATAATCACAAGATCACTGACAGCCTGAGGTTGGGGTAAGAGGGATGACTAGGTGGAGTGCACAGGATTTTGGAGCAGTGAAAATAACTCTGTGATACCACAGTGATAAATACAATTTATTAGATATTTGTCCAAACCCACTTAATGGACACTCCAAGAGTGAATCCTAATGTAAACCATGGATTTGGAGTGGCTGTGATATATCAATGCAGGTTCACCAACTGACGTAGGTTCACCATCTCTGGTGGGTGACGCTGGTAGTGGGAGAGACTATGCATGTGTGAGGACAGGCGGTATATGAGAAATCTCTGTCCCTTTCAATTTTCCTGTGAACCTGAACAGCTCTAAAAAAAAAAAAAGTTAAGGAAAAAAAAAAAAAAAGACAAGGACAAAATGGGAGCGCTACCAGAAGCTAGTATGAACTGGCTTAAGCAAGGGCCAGAATATCAAGAACAGTCTACAGGTGAGAACACTCCTAGCCAACTTTTATATCTTCCTCCTTTCCTTCACCATCAAAGACATCAGGCTGTGCATTCCGGTTACGACACCGTTCTTTGTAGGGCCAGTCAATCTGAGTAGGTAAGACCTCGTAACAGGTTTGACCCTCAGTCTCCCTAGCTTCCCTCAGTCTGGCAAGCAGCAACGAGCACTGCAAATTGGAAGGTACTGATGAGGTCTACCGACGACTCTGACCCTTGGGACCAACTGGACAAGCACCAGGGGAAGAACAGGGCCAATCTGTCATCTCTTTCAACATTTATTTGTCCTATTTCTGTCTCCTAGAATCAAAAAAAAAGAAAATGCAATTCCTTTGACATCCTCTTCACCTGTTTATTCGATAGAGTGTGCCATCTTCAGGAAGTCCCTCACGTTGTACAGAAAACAGTGGAGACTTCTCCTCCTGGGGCAGGTAGGGTGCTGCCTCACTATGGGAAGGCAAAGAAACAACAGCCTGAATCTGGAAGAGTTTCTCCCATTCTAGGATTCCCATCATAAATCTCAAGTTCTCCGTCACCCTTCCATCTCCAGTGGCATCACCCCCTCCAAGGCTTCTAAGATGTCTCTTCAACTTACAGTTCAGATAACAAGTGCCACTTCCAGGCTAAAGGAATCCACTCTGCAAACTCCCAGTATGAATGCTTCTGTTCTCGGCTGGAGGAATGGAAGAAGCATTAATGGAGGAGGAGATAAATTCTAAAGCAGTGCTGCCCAATAAAACTCTGTGACGATGGAAGTGACCCATTACCTGCCCAATGCATGAACTGCTAGCTGGGCACTTGAAACGGGGCTAGAGCAAACGAGAAACTAGACTTCTAATTTTAAATGGCCATGTGCAGCTAGTGGCCGTATTGGATAGCGCAGTTCTACAGCTCTTGTCTTTGGAGCAGAGCCATTTGTTTATTTATTTATTTTTAAAGATTTTATTTATTTTTAGAAAGAGAGGAAGGGAGGAAAGAGAGGGAGAGAAACAGCAATGTGTAAGAGGTACAGTGATCAGTTGCCTCTCACAAGCCCCCAACAGGGAACCTGGCCCACGACCAAGGCATATGCCCTAACCGGGACCAGAACTAGTGACCTTCTGGTCCACAGGATGATGAACGTCCTCAGTGTTCTGTCCTGTGAGTGGCTTCCCTCCTTCCCACAGCTCCACTTCTAGGTCATCCTTTGTACTCCACCCCCGGCCCCCAGCCCCAGCCCCCAGGCCCCCAGCCTCACAGGTCCTTGGTGAGATGCAGGCACTTCCAAACAGGAGCCATGACATGATTTGGTAGGCCATTGGGAGCCATGCCCCGGCAGTGTGGCTTCTGCTTCTGGGGATCGAATGAGGCAAGTATAAGGGGGAGAACCTTCTAGGCTGGATAAAATCCCAAGGAGACAGCTTTCCCGGCTTTTACTTCTCTTGGTACCACTTCCTCTCTAACCTTTACCCTATCAGAACTTTAAAAAAGATTTATGTCTCAATCATGACTTCTTTGCATTTTGCTCCTGCTCCTCCATCAAAACTGCAAAATTTGTTATCTACTTTTTGATCATCTTCCTTGACATCTCCGTGTACTTAATTTAGAGGACTCCCATTTACTTTTTGAAACTCCTGCCTTATGGAGTAGTCTCTCTTTATTTCTCCTACCTTTCTCATATTCCTTTGTCAGCTTTCCTTCCTCCGATAGATTTTGTTCATGACGGTATTTCCCAGAGACCTTCTGACTTCTGCTCAACCCGCTATACATGCACTGCTGGTAATTTCACCCCATGTCCCATCATCATACCTGATTATCAAGTGTGACTACCATCACTACTTATCAAGTTTATATTTTAGTAAACTCAAACTTTACTAGGTATCAACTTTTCTACAAACTTGAGACCCATACAGTGGTGCTGAGACGTATTAGGGCCCGAGGCAAAAGGAAAATTCAGTTAATACAGCTCCTATCTTTATTTAAGATTTGGCATTTTGGTCATTAGAGATGTTAATTTTGATTTTTAAAAATGTTGTATCAAAGATTTATTTTGATTTCTGCGGGATTTCGTGCTCCCTTAAATGCTGCACTTAAGAAGGTCCCATATACAGGGTGGGGCAAAAGTAGGTTTACATTTGTGAGTACGTGAAACAGTTGTCTTACGTTATCTACTAATTGTATTATTTTCCATATAAACAACTGTAAATCTACTTTTTCCCCACCCTGTAGATGGCAACCAGATGTCCCCAGAAGGATGGCTGATGGCCCCCAGGCACCTCCAACTCAGGATATCGGAAAGTGAACTCATCACCCGCCCCTCTCACCTTCGCCTCTCCTGCGCTCCCCGCTCTTCCTGTGTCCCCAGGTTCAGTGCATGAGAGCACCATCTAAGCTGGAAATTCCTACTCCTTCCTTTTCTTCAATTCCCAAGCCCCTTCAATTCTCTCGTATTCCTCGAGTCTGCCCCCTGCCCCCCTTCTCTTCCTTCACTGCTTGATTCAGGCCCTCACTCTCTCACCTAGATCACTGAAGCTGTCATTTAATCAAGAGCATATGACCTGTTTTCCTAACTGACCATGTTATTTTTCTGCTTAAAAACCTATGTTGTACAGTTTTGATTGGGATGGTGAAAAAGTCTTGGAAATGGATAGTGATGATAGTTACTCAACATTGTGAATGCACTAAAAGCCAATGAAATACACATTTTTAAGTGTTAACGTTTCCAGTTATGTAAATTTTACAATCAAACCAACACACACCTTTGCTGGCTCCTACCAATCCTAGTCCTTTTATACTCTCTAGTGTAATCTCTCCACTACTATACCCCAGGCCTTATGCTGCAGCCATGTTCAATTTCTGGGAAAACCAATCTTTCTGACAAACTTCCATTTACCTTTCAAGACCCAGCTGAACTATCATTACTCTGTGAAGCCTAAGCAGTTAAGACACCCCTCCCCTAAAGGCCTAGAGCATTTTGTTCACTCCTGATCTAGCACTTACCACACTGACCTTTGAGAGGCAGGACTCTTTCTTATCCACACCTGTGTTTCCTAGTACAGAGTAGATGCTCAATATATGAATGAATAAACTTGTTTACTTACACCCTCAATCCCTGCAATCTCAACTGTATTTGAAGTTGTCCCTTTCTTCTTTTACCTCTTTTGGCCCTTATAGTTACTAGGCCAAAACTTCCCTTCTGGGCACCCTCTTGACCCCTAATAACCCTACCATTTTCCCATTCACTTTCTTGTCCACGCAGTTACCCCTGACGTGGATCCTCGCGGGGTGCTTCGGGGCACGACAGGCTCCGGTTCAGATGAGCTCTCACTCGGGGCCTCACTTTCTTCTCCATCTTCAGCCTCAACCTTCAGAACAAAGTCTTCATCTTGTGCAGTATCAGCCTCTTCTTCTCCCCCCTGACAGGCTGGCAGTTGCCCAGTTTTCTTTGGTTTGGTGGGGCTGCTCATCTTGGGACTCTCAGGACAGGACACCGGAGCAGGCAGGGCTGTTGAGAGCTCTTCGGCCAGTTCCTGAAGATACAGAAGTGCCCTGCGGAATAGGGCAGAGTCAGAGCCATACTCACAAACACTTAACTAAGAGCCCATTTAGTTTGTAGGAAAAGTGTCCAGACACTTGGCTGATTCTTTTTTCACTGGATCCTCCCTGTGACCCTGTAAAGCAGCTATTAATTGCCCCTTCCCATTTGACAGATGAAGAAACAGAAATCCAGGAAAGTTAACTGACTTGGCCAAGATGATTCAGATAACATATGTGGGATCTAAACCTCTTCTTCTGATTTCACGTCCCAAGCACTTTTCACTCTATCGGTGTCAAAACTCAGAGTGCAAAAAAAAAAAAGGAAAAGCACATATATACTGATATACATTCAGTGGTAAAACTGCAATGAAGACCTGCGGGAAATTGTGAAAAATGTGATAGGATACAAGGTGCAGAAAGAAACCTCTTAGACAAAGTCAGCAACAGACTGAAGTTGCTGTGGTAAAAGCCAGAAGATTGCTCAAGTCCCCAAATCCAGACACCAACCCCACTTACCTGATGCCTCATCATAGTCTTCTCCTCCCCAACATCTGACCCACCCTGATCCCTTTACCCAGCCACCTCCACCAAGATGTGCTGCAATCCTTACACTTGGGCAGCCCTGCGGCGGGGTCGTTCCCCAGGTGGGGTCTCAAAGTCCTCAGGAGGTCTCTTCGGAGGTGGAGACTCTGGCTGATCGAGGCCTTTTGACAGCTTCAGCAGTAGCAGCTCTGCCTTGGGCTTTCGACCTCGTTTCTTAGGCATAGGGGTGGAGAGAGGGCTGGCTTGATCCAGGTGACCAGGAACCAGAGGGGCTGTTGGAGGATTAGGTTGTTGGGGCCCTTTGGGGCCTTTCCGTGTCCTACCACCTCTCTTCCGGCCAGGCTTTGAGGCTCTAGGCTTGGAGACCTTTGACATCTCTGAAGAAAGATCTGTAGAGAAGAACACGGGTCTATGAGGTGTGGCCAAAGCTCAAACCTCTATAGAATAGACTACATCATACCCAGGTGTGTAAGAAGTTTTAGCTCAACCTGTTCTCTTTCATCTTAAACTAAGCACTTAAGTGCGGGGAGAGAAAAAGATGAAAGGACAAGTTACATACCTTGCTGTTCCAGTCTAGAAAGGCTTTCCTGTTCTGGAAGGAACTTTTTCTCATCAAGAGAATCCTCAAATCCAGACAAAGGGGTGGGTAAAGACATCTCTATGGAAGCCTCTGTGCTGGTTGTTTCTGAAGTAGTCTTGACATCAAGTTGGTTTAGCACCTCTTGTCCAGGAGAGTCTACTACAGTTATGTTCCCCACGGGGCCGGCACCCCCCAGGGCAACACAGCCGACCCCGTAGGTATCCATCAGCACCCCCTAAAATGGCTGCCCCTGCACACAGAGACATACAGATGAGAAGAAGGCAAAAGCTATTTGTGCTGGCTCAGATTTTTCTACTTTCCTCCCCTCACGCCCCCTCCTGCAACAAGAAACCTAAACTCCCTGATCATTCATTCATTCAACAGTAATTATTCAATATCTTCTATATGTCAGGTATTGTTCTAAGAACTGATAATAGGACAATAAGCAAGGCAGACAAGGTCCCAGCCCTCATGGAGCTTACATGCTAGTGGAACTGACAATAAACAAACAATAATAAAGCTACCATTTATTAAACACTTGTTATGTGCCAAGCACTGTATTAAGAGATTTATTTACATTATTTAATTTAAAGCTCATAACATTTCTTGTAAGCACATTTCAGTGAATGCCTAGAGCTAACATCCATCCCTGTGAATATTAGTCAAGGAACAGATTTATTCAAAAATTAGTAAAACAGTTCTCTAGTGCCCTCTCATCAATCTTTCATGTGGGTGGGGGAGGTGGTAGGTTTTGAGACAATTAAGGAACATTCTACTACATTGAGAACTTTTCCCACAATGAAGAATAGCCTAAAAAATTGTCATGAATCTTCATGTTCTTCAAACCTAGGAAATCAGCTGTGCAACCATAGACCAAAGTAAACTGACAGAGATAAACAAAACATTGACTACCAAACCAAAAACCTGAGCAACACAGAACTCTGCAAGAGCACAGTTTTTGGCTAGAATAACCTGCCTGTCTGTGACAAAGGGGGAGAAATAACTCAAATCTGAGGAGGGAGCCCCCTGCCATAGGTCTGTATGTCTTAAAGATAAAAAAATCACCAGCCTCAATAGAAAAGTTTGCTGATAAAAGAACCATAAGAAATGTCATAGAAATTAAAGTTCACAACTGTCTCTTTTGAAGAAGCTACAGGCTAAGTGGATTATAAACTAAAACAATAGCCAACACTCTAACTCAGGTACTAAGGACACAACAGAACATCAAGTGCTAAAGATAGAATATAACAATGTCGAAGTAAATAGAGGTCAATGAAAATCTACCTGCATTGTTCTTTGGTAAACAGCAATCCCTGAACAGAACTACTCCATTCAAAATTAGTAATAAACAAAAAGGATCTAAATGGAACCTATGCACAGATACTACGGAAAAATATAAAGACACAAACACATGGGAAAAAAGTGAAAAGGACCCTTTCAAAGAAAGACTCCAGAAAACAGAAAAAGAATTTCCAATAAAAGCTGTATTTTCAAAAAAAAAAAAAAAACCCAAAAAACAAAAAAAAAACAACCCAGATATTGTGGAATTCGGGAAACAAGAGATCAAAATAAAGATAAGATAATGGCAAGGTAAAAAAATGGTAAGGAAAGAAACTGAGTAAAAGAATAAAATCATAGAAATGAAAACCAGAGAAGCAAAATGTTGAAACTATACTGCTGAAAAGAAAATGAATGATATGAAGGATGGGTTTGAGAAAAACCACATAGGGTGCAAAGAGATAAACGTGATTAGTTTGAAGATGACATAGATGGAAAATATAAAGTAGGAAGCCAACATTAGAACAACTGATGTTCCTAAAGAGAGATAAAAAATGGGAACAACAAAAAAACCCTACAAAAATTTAACAGAGAAAAATTTCCTGAAATAAAAAATAGTGTACTTTCCTGGAAAAAAAAAACAAAAAAAGACCTGACTCTATAGATCGAAAGGGCATACAGTGTAAAAGAGAAACAAAAACCAATAAAGAATCAAAAAGATCAAGAATTACCTTAGTGAAAATACCAAATTTCTCCTACAAAGAGGGAGAAAAATCAGGTCAGTCTCCGAGTTCTCAGAAACAAATGATTCTAGAAGATAAAGGAACACTAAAAGGATCAAGAACTTTCTTTCCTTTTTTTTTCTTTTCTTTTTTTTTTTAATTTGAGAAAGAAAGAAAGGGAGGGAGAAAGAGAAGAGAAACACCAATGTGTGAGAGAAACACCAGTTGGCCCAACCCACAGAGCCACACCAATCAGGGCAAGAGAATTCTTTACTTAACTGGTGTGTCATTCATGTAAAAGCAACAGGATGACATTCTCAATACACAAGTTTCTAGAAATCTAAAACTGATGCACCCTTACTTTAGCCAAAGAAAGATAAATCAATATAAAGAACTTTCTAATGGAGAAGTTATGATATAAAATTGGCAGTAAGCATTTAACAGTGGCACATCATTTGAGTTTGAACAACCATGGTTTGTTTAATAAACCATGGTTGTTTAAATAACATAGTTTATTTACCATGGTTATAAGCATGGTTGTTCAAATAACCAATGGTTAAACTCAACCATTGAGTTTAAACAACTACAGCTATAATACAGACTCTAACTTAAAATTTTTAAATGCCCCACAATGTAAAAAATATCAGTATTCTGGTTGTAGTGGACTAAAACAAAAAAAGAAGTATCCTAATTTTGTTTCTACGTTTGGTAAATTGAAAACATATAGATGTTATTAATACCATTTAGATGTTTAATAGACCTAAAAACAGTATACCATATTGTCTCCAAAATACCCTGTAGGCCATAAGAACCGTAAGAAATTTTTTTAACAAAACCATACAATATAAAAGATTAAAAGTAAAGGACACACACAACACACACATGCACAACCCCATTAAGATGACAGAGCAAGATAAAACATTAATTAAACAAATATATATCAGATAAATTCATCCACTGATAGATTTGGATTGATTTAAAAAAACAAACAACTATATGCTTTTTGAGAGATGTCTAAAACAAAGGAACTCAAAAAGCTGAAAGTAAAAAGATTAATTAAAATATAAAGGGCAAGACATCAAAATTACAACTAAACTACAAAACAATCATCGTTCGTAACCACCAGAAACTGAATGGAGGTCCTACAAATACAGAATTAAAGAAAAAACCACATCACAACTGGTAGGAGAGGTAGAGACACCGAACAGGCTGGTCCCACACAAAGTGTGACAGATTAAAACTGGGAAGGATATCCCGGAACAAGCAGTCCCAGACCGGGTTCGGGGGCCAGGAAGATAAGTCTCCATAACTTCTGGCTGTAAAAACCAGTGGAGGAAGATGGAAACTGCTGTTCCAGGCAGTTCCCCTTAAAGGGCCCACACACAGACTTACTCAGACTCACCCCCTCTGACCTCTAGCGTAAGGACAACAGCTTAAAAGACACCAGAGACACATGGTGAGAAACTGAATTGTCCAACCTCAGGGGGAGAACTAGGAGGCACCTTTTTCCCAGCCATAAATGTAGGCAGAGGCCACTATTCCTTTTCTGAGCCCCGCCCCCACGGATCCTGGCAGGCCCTGTGACATGTCTGACACCCTATCAACCAGGCTCACACTGTTTGCCACACCTTGGTGATTCCCTGAGGCCCTGTTCCACCCAACTTTCAGGCCCACCCAAGCTGTTTCCAGTGCTTTTCCATACAAATGGTTTGTCCTAGCTCATGCTTCAGATTTTCCTAAACTCCCTCAAACAAGCAGCATCTGGCCTCATGGAGCCCCATAACACTAATTAAGTGGCCCCAGGCCCAGCACTAGCAGCAGCTGGCCTTGGTTCACAGCTTGGCCCCACCTGGGCACCTCGAGGCTCAGCCCAAGTAGCAGCCATTTCCAGATCACTTTGTAGCGTATGTTGGGTGGCCCCAGACAGAACACAGGCAGTGGCTGGTCTTGGATGTACCAACAGCAATCAAGTCTCAACTACAAAATAAGGGTGGACATAGCACACACAGTGGGCGCACCCTGGGTATCCAGCTTGGGTGATAGGAGAGGCTGTGCCACTGGACGTTAGAGGACACCTACATTAGGCCACACTATCAAGAGAGTCAAAGCACCTCTACCTAACACACAGAAACAAACGCAGGGAAGCTGCCAAAATGAGGAGCCGAGGAAACATGGCCCCAATGAAAGAAGAGAACAAAACTCCAGAAAAAGAACTAAAATGGAGACAAGCAATCCAGCAGATGCAGAGTTCAAAACACTGGTTATAAGGATCTTCAATGAACCTAACAAGAACCTCAACAGCATAAAAAAGATCCAGTCAGAAACGAAGACTACACTAATTGAAATAGAGAAAAACTGACAGGGAATCAACAGTAGAATGGATGAAGCTGAGAATCAAATCAGTGATTTGGAACATAAGGAAGCCAAAAACAACCAATCAAAACAAGAAACAAGAGTCCAAAAAGTGAAGATAGTGTAAGGAGCCTCTGGGACAACTTCAAGTGTATCAACATTGGCATCATGAGTGTGCCAGAAAGCAAAAAATTGGAAAAGTATTTGAAAAAACAATGACAGAAAACTTCCCTGACTTGGTGAAGGAAACAAACATACAAGTCCAAAAGCACAGAGTCCCAAACAAGATGAACCTAGAGAGGCCTACACCAAGACACACCATAATTAAAATGCCAAAGGAAAAAGACAAAGGGAAAACCTTAAAAGCAGCAAGAGAAAAGCAGTTATTTACCTACAAGGGAGTTCCCATAAGACTGTCAGCTGATTTCTGAAAAGAAACTTTGCAGGCTAAAAGGGATTGGCAAGTGATGAAAAGCAAGGACCTACAACCAAGATTATTCTACCTAGCAAAGCTATCATTTAGACTCAAAGGACATATAAAGCGCTTCCCACATAAGAAAAAGGTAAGGGAGTTCATCATCACCAAACCATTATCATATGAAATGTTAAAGGGACTTCTTTAAGAAAACAATAAAAAATATTAACAATAAAAGTCAATAAATACATATCTATCAACAACTGAATCTAAAAAACAAAATAAACAAGCAGAACAGAAACAGAATTAAAGATACAGTGGACATTTTAATGGCTGCCAGATGGGATGATGATCAGGGGATGAGGAAAAAGGTAAAAAGGATTAAGTACAAATTGATTGTTACAGAATCGTCATGCGGATGTAAAGTACACACAGAGAACATAGTAACCAAAGAACATATATGCATGACCCATGGGCATGGACAATGGTGTGGGAATCACCTGAGGGAGTGGTGGGGGTCTGGGTGAAGGGGGGCTAAAAAGGAAAAATTGAGACAACTGTAATAACATAAACAATAAAATATAAGTTAAATAAAAAATACAAGTCAAATGTAAGCAACAAGAAAAAAAGAGTTTTGATCGTAATAGTGAAGTTAAATTCAGGGGGGAAACATTAAATGGGATAAAAACAGAGTACTTTATAATGAATAAAACTTCAAATCTTGTAAAAGATATGTCACGAATCTTTAGACATCACATAACATAGCATCAAAATACATAAAGCAAAATCTCCAGGAAATATAAGAGCTACTTCTTTTAATCAACGGCAGTTCAAGTAGGTAAGGACAAAGAAAGTGTGAATAAAATGATTACTGCCTTCTCTATTGGCCAAGATTCAGTTGCATAGAACAGAATCCTCTCTAGTTAGTTCAAGCTAAAAGGAATATATTAAAACAGCAGCCCCCCAACCTTTTTGGCACTAGGGACCAGTATTGTGGAAGACAATTTTTCCAGATTGGAGCGGGGGTTGAGAGGGATGGTTTCGGGATGATTCAAGAACATTCCATTCAAGCTCACCTCCTGCTGTGCGGCCCTGTTCCTAACAGGCCTGGACTGGTACTGGTCCGCGGCCTGGAGGTTGGGGACCCCTGTAAAGGGTATTAAATGGTTTACATCAGTGTTTCTCAAAGTGTGGTCCCAGAATTGGCAGTTTTAGCATCACTCAAAAATTTGTTAAAATTCCAATTTCCAGTCCTATTCCAGATACACTAAATCAGAAACTCTGGGATGAGGGCACTTTTTATAACCACAAGCCCTTCAGGAGATTCTAATGCACACTCAGGTTTGAGAATCACCTGCATAGGTCATTGAGAGGGTTGGCAGGAAAAAAAAGTTTAGGAATAAGGGCTTGTCAAACTGGAAAGTTGTTTTACAGCTTCTGATTCAAGAACCACATGGCCTCTCCTATGCCATGATGGGGACCCACTTGCGGAATTCAAGAAGACCCTGCCCAGATGATGGGTCTATTAACCAAGTTGCCTGTGCAAACCAAAAGTGACCAAGTAAATGGGGAAGATCCTTCTCTGGCTCCCAAATCCAAAAACATTTCACTGCCACAATCTGCACAAGCAAAATGCACACCTGCTGGCCTGCCCTCCTGCACTATAATCTCAGGTCCAAATTGGGAGTTCTTTGAGAGCACATTTGATTGGCAAGACTTAAATCATATTCAGAATCTCAGATGGTAAATTTCCAGGAATGACATTTCTAGCTTTCAGGCTCTCAAGTGGAGGTTACTTGTTCTCTCATAACCCACTTACCCCAGGGTAGAAAGTAGCATCAGTGTCTTCTCAATTCCTCTCCAATGCCACTTCTTGACAAATAGTCCTTCTCCTCTTGTAAAAACCTTGTGTCTTTGAAGCTTGAAACATTCAGCTAAACACTGCTAATCACTCCGTTGTCACACTCTGGACCTTGTCATCACATAAAACCTTTTAACCTCCAAAATCACTAAGACACCCACTATCTGATCACAGCCTCCCATCATTACAGCTAGGTTACTCAACTACTATCATTTTATCTGTCCTTCAACCATATCTAGTCACTCTCCAGTCTCTCCCTATGGTAACCACATGCAATCTAGCTTAGATTTCTTTATTTTAATCAGGCTCATTGCCATTATGAACTTCCTTTCTTTTCGGTCCACAGGTCTGGCAAAATTCGAGCCCTGGATGAACCGATCATCATCTTCCCCACTGCGTGCATCTAAGATGCCCAAGGGCTAGCAATAACACTTTGTCTTTTAATCGCTCCCATCTCCTCTCTTCTAACGTCTGATCCCCTGGTTCTCAGCAGATGACTTTGCCTCTGGTTTCTGAAACAAAACCCAAAGCCATTAGATGGGAAATACTTAAGATTGCTTGTCCAGTAGCCTAATCCTCCCTGCATCTGAACTGCTCCCTCATCCACTTTCTAAGGCCATACCTTCCACTGGTGCTCTGGCCTTTTTCCCCATCTTATGGAAACTAGACTCATTTATCCTTTTCCTTTCCATGGGGTCCTTCCAAAGAGCACTTAAATATGTTTATAGTTCTCACCTTAACACACATACAATTATATTTCAACTCTTAGTTCCCCTCCAAATAACATCTTCTTCGTCCCTCTCACAATCAAACTTTTTCGAGCTGTCTGTCCTTATAATTTAATTACCCTGCTGCCTCCTAACTAGGATATTGCCCCCAACTCATCTCTGAAGCTAAAAGGCATCAGTAATTGCTGTCAATTAATTAATGCGATTGACAATTCTCAGTCTTGTTTAACTTGACCTCTCAGCAGCACTGAGACCTCTTATCATTACTTTCTTGAAACATTCTGTTTTGTTGAGAAGTAATTCAATTGCAGATACTTTAAGACTTTTTACAAATGCTCCTCAATCTTTTACAATCGTCTCTCGCACCTATTTGGAAGCTTTTTTGCTTGTTTGCAAAGCCATCTCCTTTATGTTTCTAAAACATTTGACATAGTTTGCTTTCTTTTCTTTTTTAAAAGTTGTTTTACAAAACTTTTAGGTGATACAAAATATTTATAAATATATGTAGAATATAAAGAATAACAGTAAAACACCTCTATATCTGCCATGTTTCAACTTAGTTTTAATAGATTAATTCATGTTCAAACTTCTTTAAAATTTAAATGTTAATTATATAAACATAATGACAAACCAATGAATATAAACAGATTTGGGAACAAATGCAATGACTCTTGGCAAGCATTTAACTCAATTAGTGGAGGTAGAGTGATGAGGTCTATAGGAGAAAACCCTAGGTGGCTTGCACCATTCAGTGTGCCATGGTTATCAGTCTGTATGCTTTACAACAGAAATGAAGAATGTCAGTTAACCTAAGAAAGTTAAATGGAGATCAGCCAAGAGAATTTCTATACTATATATCTTAAAGATTTTCCGTATCAGTACACATATATTTATCTCATTCTTCTTGGTTACTATATATGATGTTTTATAGAATTGTTGTGTACTTAGGTATTTTCCACTTAAGGACAATTGGGTTATAATACTATTACAAACAATAATGCAACACGTAGTCTAGTATAGGTCTCTTCATTAATGAGAAATTATTTTTCTAGAATGAGCATCTCAAGTGGAATTCTGTACCAAGCTGAAGGGTACATACATTTTAAAATTTAACAGATGCTGCCATACAATTCACTGAAATAAAAACCAATATATATTTCCACTTACTATACCTGGCCATTTTAACACACCCTTGCTAATGTTTAATTTTTGCCAATCTGATGGGGAAAAGAATTCTTTATTTTCATTGATCTGATAATTGAAGTTAATTTCTTTTTGTACGTTGGATATCTGTATGTCTTTTCTGAACTGTGTGTACATACAAGTTGCCCATATTTCTACAGGGCAAATTCCTCTTTTCCTTACTGATCTGTGGAGTTCTGTTGTTTATGTTGCAAATATTTTCTCTCTGTACCTACTTTTTTGTTTATAATGTTCTTCCTAAACTGAAGTTAGATTTTATGAGTTAAATTTCTCAATCTTCTTCTTTATGAGCTGTTTCTTCTGTGTCTTAAAAAGGTATTTTCTACCCCACTAACAAAAACATACCCAATTTCACTTCCCTCTAATATTTTTTCTCTAAATTTGAATCTTATATGTAGCTCTTTAGTTTGTCTGGAATTTTCTTATGATAAGAGATATGAGTATTTACTTATTTTATATCTACCATCCCTGAAAGTTTCATCCTTTACCTGTCTGATTCGGTATTGTATCCGGAACCTGCTACGTGGTAAGTGTAATAATTAAACTCTGCTGATTGAATGACTAACTTCTCAAGGCACAAAAATCGCTTTCAAAAATGCACTTCATATAGAGGGCAGCAAGCAGCAGGGAATGGTGGTAAATTTCCATTTATGATTTCACAATACAAATTTTGGACACAAGTAAAGGAAGAAATGTTCAATCTGTGCTAAAGTTTACAAAATTTTACATTTGCACCCCAACTTGTCTGGTTCCCAAGATACTCCAAGTTGCCTGCCTGACCTCAGTCAAGGAAAATAATTAGATGACACTGTTTCTCAAACATGGAATTACTTTAAACTCATTGGTCTAACATAGTATTTCCCAAAGTGTTCCTATGGTACAACTGGTGGCATGCAAGGTGATTTTAGTGGTACAGAAATGAACAATTTTATTGGACTAATTGTGTTATTAACTTGTTTAAAAAAAAACTGTAACAAGCCCATGAAACCCATGGGTTCCTCTATACTGCTTAGATGGAGACTAAAGCACTTACACTTTAAAAATAAATCAATTTAAAGAAAACTATCGCCCTGATTAGTGTGGCTCAGTTGGTTGGGCTCCAGTCCAGGTCACATGCCTGGGTTCCATTTGGATCCCTGTCGGGGAGAGTTCAAGAGACAAATGATGGATGTTTCTCTCACATCTAACTTCCTCTCCTTCTCCCTCCCTTCCCCTCTCTCTCTCTAAGAATAAAAAAATAAAGTCTTTTAAAAAATAAAGAAAACTATTAAGAAAATAATAGTACAGTTGGTGAGAATGGATGGTAAAAAGTGATGGCGGCACAGGAATGACTGAAGTTTGTGTAACAACATGCCCCTGGGGCGAAGAGGCTTGGCCATACCCTACACCACTCTTAACAAAGTGAGTTATCACTGGGTGGGGTCGAAGTCGTCACCTCTGCCTTACGCAGCAGACAGCCAACTTGCCACGGAATTAAAGGGCTACACAGGGAAACGTAACTGGCCCTTGACTGCGCCAATGAGGTTGTAGCGCGCGGGGCACAACCCCCAGGGTTAGAAGCAGCTCAGCGAGGGAGAGGCTGGGACACAGCCGAATGAGGAGATTGACCCGCAACTACTATAGGGATGACCACCTGCCCTCCCTCACTCTTGGGCGCCTGAGCAGCTTTCACCACGAGCCCGTGCCTGAGGCCAGCCCTGAATTTCCTAAGGTTGAGGACTTACTGTAGGTTCGCAGAGTCGAGGGAGGTAATTAATGTAAGCAGCACCGAAGCCGGGACACAGGATGCCGTGTTACGGACACCGCGTGGGGGAAGAAGGCAAGACCCTTGGTTAGCAGAGATGGGTGATGCACTCTTGCCGCTGTGGGGAAGGAAGTGGGGAGCATGATGGTTTCTGTAGCAGCCCAGGGGCTGGAGGTCGCGATGCTGTGCAGAGATGGAATAGCGGAGCCAATATCTTAGCGCTACAGAAAAAGGAGGAGGAGTAATCGTGGGACCCCCCCCGCACACCCCATGGCGGTACACTCACCCTCAACCAAAGTCCTTCCGGAAGTCCAAGTTCGAAGATGGCGCCGCCCGTCTGGTCGCGGTTTTATGACGCAATCCGGTAGCTTCTCTTCATTGATGCCCCACCCCGGCGGGCGATGCGAGTGCACAAGGTAAACACGTGAGCTTGGTCGCGACTTTGTACCCGAAGACGTTTTCTATTACACTATGTATTCCATAATGCAGTGCGGCGAGAGTTCCCGAACCCTTTCGGAGCGGAGAAGCTCCTGGACTTTCGCGGCGCAGAGGACGCTGCACGGCCTTATGGGAATTGCAGTGTCCAGAAGGTAAGATTGACGCGTGCGCGGTCTCTACGCGATACTTGAGTGTGCTGTTTTTCCGGAGCGCTGAATCCTGGATTTCCTGCAATACTACGGGGCCTGTGGCGGGCAGGGCTAGGCCGGATGTGAGTCTTCACCTGAAAGCCCGGCGCCGACCAGCCGAGGACAGAGACTGGGAGACAAAGGAATCCTTGCGGCAGGCCGCCAAGAGATGACTCCGGCTTCCGCCGCGGGGCAGTCATCCCCGCCCCTCACCCTTCCGCAGACCCAACTACTAGTGAAGTCAAGGATGGACGTGAGACAGTAATGCAGTGTAAGGGGGCTTGGGGAAAGGACAGGACTGGGATGGGTCAGGAATAGAAAAACTCTGACCTAGGGACACAACACTCGAGTGAGACTATGGCTTGAACTCTGGGTTTTGTCATTGGTTTTGCCCCACTCCCTCACTGGGAGATGGGATGCGGATGAAAAAGAATGTAATCAATTCTGTTCTTTCCTGAAGCACTTAAAAGCTCTGTTTCACGCGTTTCCACAAACGAAATAGTTCGGGACATACAAATACATAGAAGGGGTGGGGTAAAACCTTTTTCTTCCCAAATAATGGCACCTATTAAACTCCTTTGCTTACACGAAACGTTTTAAAAAGCATGGGAGGAGCTAGCCAAGATAGTTTTAAGATGGAATAAGCGTCTCCCATGTCTCCCCCGACTTAGTGGCCTAAATACAAGCTAAGGGCTGCTCCTTGGTTAAGGACCAACTCTGAGAGAGAGCTCAAAATTGGTGCATCTTGAGGCTTGGTTCCCCAATCCATAAGATCTTAAATGCTTCTGTAATGAACAGATATGTCTTCTCTCCACTCATCTTGCCTCAGATTAGGCTATCTTTGACTTTAACAATTGCAAAATCTTTTTATATTAGTTGTATTTATTTTTGTAATAAGATATTCACATGACTCAAAAATTCGAGATACAAAGGGTATGAAGTGAAGACTCCCACCTCTGTTTCCAGCGTCCCAGACCACATCCATACAGGCAGTTTCTTATGACAGGTCCAAGATATTTTATGTATTTATACACATATGCAAATACATATACCTTTCTCCCATTCAGTTAAAACAGCAATACACACACTTTGCATTTTGCTTCTTTTAACTGAGTGTACCTTGGAGATTATTCCATTTCTGTACATAAAAACTTCATTCTTCGTTATGACTGCTTAGTATTTAATTTTATGAATACAGTATAACTTAGTCTCCTATTAATCTTTAAAAAAATATTAATGGGTGTTTAGGTGGTTTCCAGTCTTTTGCAATTATAAGCAACGCTAATATAAATAACCTGGTATCTACAAGTTACTTCAAATTGTGACTATATGGATGGCATAAATTTCTAGAATTACGGAACCAAAATTTAGGTACATTTGTAATTTTTATTGATAGGCAATCTTTTAACTGATGTTTCTCAGCTTCTGATCTTTACCAGTTTACCTAGAAAGGTAAAGATCAGAGCTGACTCTGTTGAACCTCTGCTTAATTTTGATGCTCAATGCAAAAAAGAGAGGGTTCATAATGGTCTTTTTAAAGAGATAGAAAACCAAAAAAATCAACTAGTACAAAACTGGAAGTAACTAGTGATCAGTTCCTGAAAACTGCCAAGTAAGAGGTAACAAGCATTTATCCTGCCTTCCCAATGTGAACTGTAATTCAGAATAACAGCTGATGACAAAGAGGAAAAAGGTGATGAGAGGGAGTTCTCTTATAGATTATGAGCTAGTAATGTGGAAAAAAATGATAGAATTAGGAACAGAATCACCATTTTGCATTCGCTGATAACACAAGTCAGGCAACAATCATCAATGGATGAAATCTTGTTGGGAAACTTCCAAGTGCCTGGACCCACTAATCATCAAAAATGGAAAAGCAACCATTATTTGTCTTCTGACATGAGGCAGTATGAAACAGTCAATCTGGTTTCTGGAACAAGCCAATCTCATGAGAGGAAGGGGTGGAGAGGACTGCTTCTCATTACAAGAATTTAGGACAGTAACCAAATATGTGTGGGTTTGTTTGGATGCTGATTCATACAAACCAACTGTAAAAAGCTATTTTGAGCCCTGCCTGGTGTGGCTCAATGGACTGAGTGCTGGCCTTGCAAACTTAAGGGTCACTGGTTTGGTTCCCAGTCAGGATACATACCTGGGTTGCAGGCCAGGTCCCCATTTGGGGGTGCACAAGAGGCAACCTATTGGTGTCTCTCTCTCACATTGATATTTCTTTCTCTCTCACTCCCCCTCTCTCTAAAATAAGGAAAATCTTATTTTTTTTTAGAGTTAGATTAAATGTTGTAAATGGGGTAAGGAAGGAATTAGAACCATTTCTGACATAATATTAAGGATACTACTTATTAATATGTTAATATATAATTACTTAATATTAAAAAATCTTATTTTTGGAAAGGGGGAGGGAGAAAGGGAGAGAAACATCAGTCAGCTGCCTCTCCCACACCTCCAAATGGAGACTTGGCCCTCAACCCAGTCATGTGCCCTGACCGGGAACTGAACCAGTGACCTTTTGGTCTCAGGCCAGCACTCAGTCCACTAAGCCACACTGGCCAGGGCATAAACTAAAATCTTTTTAAAGAAATTTTTTAAAAGATTTTAAAAGTTTTATTAGAGAGGGGAAGGGAGAAACAAATATCAATGTGTGGTTGCCTCTCAAGTGCCTCCAACTGGGAGCCTGGCCCGCAACCCAGGCGTGTGCCCTGACTGGGAAATGACCCAGTGACCCTTTGGTTTGCAGGCCAGTGCTCAATCCACTGAGCCACACCAGCCAAGGCTAAAATTTTTTTTTTTTTTAGAAAGCCATTTTGAGACCATCAAGGAAATTTGGTTATGGATTAGACAATGGAAAGAATTTAGTAAATTTCCCATGTTTTTTTTTTTGAGATGCTGCCATTTGTGGGAGTAAAATGATGTTCTGGGATTTGCTCTAAGTAACTTCAGTGAGGAAAGAAAGGGAAAATAAAAGAAAGCAAATGTAGCAAATCTGGACAATTACTGCGTCTGGTGATGAGGATTCTTTGTGTAGGTCACTCTACTTCTGTGCTGCTTGAAATTTTTCAATAAAATACACATACATACACAAAATGGATGTCTTTTTTTAAGCTAACCGCAATGGTCAGACTCACAATCTGGCCCCAATCCAACCTTACCTTTGCAGCTTTATCCCTCACTCCACAGAAGCCTCAGTTCTAGCCTCACCACACTACTGGGCACTTTGGAACTAGCTACTCAGTTCGAGGTCTCTTCTGTCTTGTAACCAAACTATTTCCTCTTTTCCATTCTTTTCCAACTCCTTATGCTGCAAGGACTAGGTCAGATGTTACCTGTGAAGTCTTCCCCAGCCTAACTGGATCTCCTGGCATCATTCTTGGTTGTTTCCAATGAACTCTGTACTACTGGTAAAATTATCTTATGCTGTAGATACTGTCTCCATCTACCATAATGAATGTTCCTTGATGGCAGATAGCATAAAAGTTAAAAGCACGGTCTCTGGATCCAGATTGCCTGAGGTCATATGCTGGTTTAGTTACTGTGTTATATCCGGGCAACTTAACCTCTATGCCTTAGCTGTGTTGCCCTCGCAAATAAGCTCTCTGTGCCTCAGTTTTCTTACCTCTAAAATCTCACTTCTCAGAGTTAGATTAAGTGTTATAAATGGGTAAGAAAGGAATTACAACCATTTCTGACATAGTACTCAACATTGAGGATACTAAATACTTATTAATACGTTAATATATAACTAAAAGTATTAATATAGATAATATTAATTCATAATATTAAACTTAGGACTCTTTATTTGTCCTATTCCTCCTCGTATCTAGCTCAGTGGCTGGCAGTTAGATGCTTGATAAAAGGTTGATGACTTGGGGTAGTGTTTAGTCTCCACTTTGACCTTCACTTTGACCCTGAAGCACTGGCAAGGAGTTTGTCATTTGAGAGGGTCTCCATAAAGGTCTGCGGTTGGTAGCAGGTACTAAGAAGGGTTAGAGAGTCAGAACTCCTAAGTGATGGCGACGCTAAAAGAGACAAAGGCAGCAGAGTTGCTGAGTGCAGGGAGTATGTCGTTTATTGACCTTGTGTTCCCCCACTTACTGGTCACTACTCTTGACTCGTAGGACAACAGGTACAGAACTGCAGGGGATCATCCCAAGCTCTGTGATCACCAGATCCACGAGCTCTGGGGGAGTCACATCATAGACCAGATTCAACAACCGTAGGGACACGTGGTTCTGCCAATTAGCCAGGGCCACATGTTCTCCTCGCTCACACAGCAGATCGTCCGGGTCATCTGCAATGGGAGGTGTACCCATATATGTCCTTTAGGAAACAAGTTGTAGTTCAACCTCCCCTCACCCAAATCTCAATCCCTAGAACCTTCTCTTCTGCTTTCCTGGGCCCCCTTACCTAGCTCATTAGAGACAAAGGCATCAGTTTGCACACGCTCACAGAACTTGTATGTTTCACAGCAGACGAGTACTGGCACATTATGGGCTCGTGCCACCAGGGCCAGCTGTGCTGTCCCTACCCGTGACATCACGGATCCATTGGCCAAGAGTGCATGAGCTCCCAACAGCACCTTAGAAACCTATTTTGGAAAGTGAAGAGGGGGAAAAAATGTCATCTGTGATCAATGCAAAACGATTCCGCACTCCTGCCCTGGAGAGCAATATTACAATGACTAACAAATCTTAATGATGGCTCCTGGAAAACACCTGACCAATGACCCACTGCACCTCCCACAGAAAAACTAAACTCTAATGTTACTCTTGTCCTGTTTCCTCTCGGTGATTGTCAGTTTAGCATAATATTCTTTAGACTAAACTGTTGTAGCATGCCATAGATGTTTTCACATTGAATATAAACAAGGCTATACAAAATTTTAATATTTCTAAGTAATCGTAACCCTTGGAAGGTGGGTTTATATCTATACTAATAAACCCTTTTACTCCAACTTTGGAGTCCCTTTTCACTGTCCTCACCTCTGGGAGCACGTAGGAGGCTGCAGGAATCAGCAGATAGGAAGCAGGGACCCCAGCACGGACCAGAAAGCGTAACATGTGCTTTCCCTCCAGCCATGGCCGGCTGTCCACCACTACCACCCGAAATCGCCGGCCCTCAGCCCATGCCTCCCGAAGAATCCATGATACCAGAGATGAGCTGGAGTAAATGGAGAGGAGAATTCAGTAATAATATTACTAGCTGATAGTAATCAGCTCATTCCTAAAAGGCAAAAGGGGTAGTCCCTTCTTCAGATCATTTCACCTCCCATACAAATTTTCTCAGTCACTGTCTAAACCATACCATCCATACACCAGGATCACATCTTCATTACTGATCTTCTGATAAGCAAAGCGTGAAATTGCTTTAGCTGCAAGCACAATCTTCTCGTTCACATACCAATCGATGGATGCTCGAAGTTTTGACTTGGCCTAAGTAGAGTAAGGTGCTTAGAGAACAAGAAATGGACACATTTCTTCCTGATGATCATGCCAGATGCTTAAATATGTGTATAATGATGGGCTCAAGGAGGAAGGGAGTGCCTACAGGGGACCCAAAGGTGGCACAAGTCAGCCCAACCACTTCCTCAATCCCTGACCAGGGCAGAATGGCCATCCTGTCCCTCCTAGGAGTCCTGAATGTATTTCTCCGCTCTACCCCCAGGTGCATGCCTTTGCTTATTCCTCATTCTTATCACCTCCTCTTCCCGCTTGGAGCTGCTCATACTCGTGATCTCCTTGTTAAGGAACTTGATGGCATTGTACATGCTTGCTGACAGGGGACGGCACTGAGTCAGGAAGCTAAAACAAAAACATCTTATGTTTGTGCGACTCTTCACAACTTACACAGCTTTCACATTAAAAGAAAAGTCTTTAAAAAGAAGACGGAGAACAGAAAGATGAAAACAAGGTAGAAGATCAACAGAAAGGGTGCAAGAAAAGGACTAGGTGAGCTAGGGGTGCACTTGTAGTGGTCGTCCTTACCTGAAATAGGGCTTTAGTTTATTGACTAGATCCCTTGAGAGTTCTTCATTGGGTGGTGTTGTGTAATCCTGAATCACCTGCAGTAGACACAGGTTGATCAACAAAATGCACCCTAAGAAAGGTCTCTGAAATCGGGATAGGGTAAGCTTCACTGAGGAAATTTTTCTGAGGGAGGAGTCATGTCCTCCTTCCCCCAAAGATTAATTTGGGTGAGAGAAGCTGGGGTGGTGCTGGGGAAGGTGGCTCTAGGTGACAAGAGGGAACAGGGGGGGGCATACCTGCTGCAAGGCACGAAGCAGGGCAATACACCGGGCATTGGAGCCACTGATCAGGCCCTGGGAGTACTGCAGGCCGAGGCGCACCATGGCTGGGTGGATCACAGAGGATGGAATGCTGATAGGATGGCGGTGTCATACACTTTGCAAGGGAGCTGGAGCACTTACTGCCCACCTGCCCCTAATGAAAAGGAACTTCCTTCACTAGCACAAACACCCCCATTTCCACTAGACTTTTGCCTTGTATTCATGCCTCTTCCCACAAATCCACTCTCAAATTCCCAGCCACTTTCAATATACAATTACTAAAATCCCTCAGACTTCAAAGTTATGACAGAAGACCCTACCTCATACACTGAGTCAGAGAGTTTTGTCTGCTATACTGCGGTAGGTGGGAGAAGAGACTGACTTTGGATCCATAATCTTTTCGGGTAGGAACCTTGACAAAATAAACGAATAGAATCAATGGCCCAGAGTTTAAAATTTAAGAGATAAAGCTGGAAAGGAAGTAAACAGTGAAACTACTTTGACCCAAATACCCATCCTTTGCCAGGATCTCACTTTTGCCCAAGCACCTTTCCACCCTCTATCGCATCTCCCAAGGCGCTTTCTGGCCACACACCAAACTGACTTCCTACCTGCTGGCGCTCTGGTTTTTTAACAAGCCTTCTCAGAAGTGTGGGGTCATCACCCTGAGTGTGTTCAGGAATACGTTTCACTCCTAAAAAACAATGGTCATGTTTTCAAGACTTTGTAAGTGATGTTGAGAAATCTGCCTTTGCAGCACAAGAGACACCAAGAAAAACTGGACAGAGGGAGGGGCGAAAGAGAGAGGAAGAGTAGAAGACGAAATTGTGGCAGGAGGAGGCTGAGGGGAGAATTTTGAAATCTGGGAACCAAAGCAAAGAATGGGAGACCAGAGCTGTTTTACTACAGGGGAGGCTGAGCTAACACAAGCATTAGAATCAAACAGAGATCTTGAAGTAAAAGGCAGATACCTGAGGGGGTTTCTCCAGCTGTGCTGGGGCAGGAGTGAGGAGGAGGTCCTCCTTGAGGAGGTGCTCCTTGTTCGCCTTTTCTTGCCTGTTTCAGGGCCCGCTCAGCCTCCTGCTTGGCTCTCCGTTCAGCACGAAGTTCAGCTTTACTCCGACCAGCTGGAACTTTCTCCCCAGCAGTGCCCACCTGATTGCCGGGTCCTGGCAATTCTTTGGTTGGGCCTATGAAAGGCAAAGAAAGAGAAGCCCATGCCCCAAGCAGGTAACAGCTATGCTTTATTACCAACAAAGTTTCTCTCCACATCTACCTAAACTTATTCAATCTTCATTTGCTCAAACCAACTCTGCCCTGCCCCCGCTTCTCTGCCACACATTCTTCTACCAGCTCCACACCCGGGCCCAGGGAGGGAGGGGAGAAAGAGAAAGAAAAGAAAGAAAGAAACTCCCGCACCTTGACATTGGGCTGCAGATACAACAGAACCAGTTTCTGGTTCTGCCCCCTTTTCCTCCTTCCGTTTCTTCTTCTGCTGTTTCTTTTCTTTCCGCAGCTGCAGCTTCTCTTCTTGGGTCATCTCCCTCCCTGCTGCTGCCTAAGACAGAGAGAATACTGCTCTTCTGCCCCAACATTTCCAAAGGTAAATAAACGCTATTGGACGCTCACAAGATTCCCAGAAGACAAAGTCCCTAACCCTTCCTATCTCTCACCCTACATGGATCGAAGCTTCTATTCCAGGGTCAGAGTTCCATACCGTTAGGGCATTTTAGAGGTAGGAACTCTAAAACTCCCCTGGCTTTACTGAGAAATAAAGTGGAACAGGGAGGGAAGTTGGGGCGGAATGAAGCTAATACAACTTCCTGCATAGCACTTGACAGGCAGCTGTGGAGGGCACCCCCACTTACCCCAGACCGAGGAGAAAGCTCTGCCTTCATTCCAGATCCCGAGTCTGCATCAGAAAACAGGGCACAAAGTGACCCAGAGAGGCTCCGGGAGGGTTTGAGGGGACTCGTACCGGGCGCAGCTAGCTGATGGGTCGGCATGTCCACGGCTCCCGCGGGCTGGCAGGAGGTAGCCAAGGATTCGCGTGGGGACGCAGTGTGCGGCAGGATCAAAGGGTAGGCGGGGGAGGGAAAAAGGAGGGGCACCCACCCTTCTCACGGGAACCAGCCGGTCCGAAACTCTGGGCTGCCCCCGAGGCAGGGCAGACCAGCGTCCTGCGTGGCGCCAGAACTGAACGACAGCGCCCAGGGGGCCTCAAGGCCCAGCACAAGCCGCCCGGAGCCGGTCGGCTGGCGGACCTATTTGTGTGCCCCGGCCCTTCACTCACCCTTGCGAACAGCCACGGCCACGGCAGCCATCACCCTAAGTCCTGGGCTCTGCCCCCGCAGTCACAAGCACTACAGCGTCTCCCGGGCTCACACTTGCGGCGCTCAGCCCTAAGCCGACTACAACCTCCGACGTGCAGTGGCGCGCCACCAGGCCTACGGGTGGCGATGAGGGCCACCCCACTTGGGTCTTCCAGTTCCGGCCACCTCTCCTTGCCCTTTAGACTACAGTTCCCAGCGTGCCAGGGCGCTGCGCCCACCAGGGGACGTCCCACTGCCCTTCCCACATCCGATCCCGGACAGCCAGCCCCCCCCACCCCGCCCCCAAAATGGCGCGTGAGGCTGCGGGGACGCGCTGAGCAGCGGAGGCGAGCGTGCCGAGCCGCTGCGGCCCTCACAGTCCAGTGCCTGGCCGGGCCCTCTGCAGGGAACATGCACTTTTCCATTCCTGAAACCGAGTCCCGCAGCGGGGACAGCGGCGGCTCCGCCTACGTGGTGAGGAGCGGCTGGAGCCGTGCTGGGCAGGGGCGGGGATAACGGGCCGGAGTCCTCTCTGAGCGGCCTCCGAGGCCTGGCCGCCGATCTCCGACGGCCTTGCTAGGTCCTTATATCACTTCTCAGTTTCGTCCAGAGGTCGCTCCAGCTCCTGTAGGCCCTTTGTTGGGCCGCGTCGCCTCCTCCAGCTGGGCCGCGGCTGCTCTGGTGGGTGTCCACTGGCCTCTTGGGAATGGAGACTGCGACACGAGCGCTCGAATTTACCCAGGACTGGTCCTTCTGCTTTGGGACCTGGCCCTGGGAAAAACAGACTGACAAACCCTCAGAAGGTCTCGGCGCGTTACCGAAGTGGAGCTGTGCCAGGCAACTTACGGCCGGGTTCTCAAGGGGGTCGCCGGGATCGCGACCCTAAAATGCTTACCTGCTTTTGTGTCCTCAGGCTTATAACATTCACGTGAATGGAGTCCTGCACTGTCGGGTGCGCTACAGCCAACTCCTGGGGCTGCACGAGCAGGTGGGATTAGCACCCCTGCCTTGAGGCAGCTTCAAGCCCTTCCCTAGACCTGGGCATTAGTATCTCCATTTTCTCCCTCACTGCTTTCCTATGGGCTGTAGTTCCCCTTTAATCACTGTAAGAGGGAAGGGCTTGTGACTTTGTCTTATCGTTTCACATATCCGGGGAACTCCCTAAGAAGCTTAATGTCAGCCCTATAGCTGTTCCCTATACTCACATCCTCCTTCCCACTTCTCTTTCCCCGGTGCATGAAAAAGCGACCTCCCCTCCCATCCCACTTTCCGTTGCCAAAGCACATTCCTTCCGTCATCTGAGCTGCAATTGAAGTCTTTTTTCCCTCCTCTTACAAACCATTAGCCGGTTTTCTTCTGTGTTCTGTGACTAGCTGTTCCTGTTATCCTAATGTATCTGTGTTGCAATGTTTCTCTGTTCTTCTCACCACATTGCAAACTATTTTACTCAGTTCAGAGTCCTGGTTCTACTGATAACTAGTTGTGCAGTCCTAAACAAGTTACATAATTTCTTTGGGCCTCAGTTTCTACAGTTGAAAAATGGACTTGATTTATAAAGTCCCTGTAAGTTCCAAGATGTTTGGTGAACACATTTAGCTAATACTTAACCCTTTGTGCACATCAATTTTCCTTATAAAGCCATTTGCTTCCGGTGAGGGTTCAGTGAACACAGTTTTGCTGGATAATAAAGGGGTGCCCCAGGCCTGGTTCCATGCAAACCCTTCCCACACTGTGAAGGGGCTGACTTGGACACAGTAAGATAGGAAAGAACTTCCATCCAAGACAGAGGAACAGCTTTATTGGAACACTACCTGCACCAAAGAAATTGTTTCCCTGGTATCCTGGGACAGAGGGAAGGGAAAGGAGCCCAAAATAACATTGTGAAAGTGGATTGCCTATTCTTGTTTGCTACATGTTCATGAAGGGTTGTATCTCTTTCTCTAAATAGCTTCGGAAGGAGTATGGGGCCAATGTGCTTCCTGCATTTCCCCCAAAGAAGCTTTTCTCTTTGACACCTGCTGAGGTAGAACAGAGGAGAGAACAGTTAGAGAAGTATATGCAAGCTGGTGAGTGGTTGGAGGGAACTTCAGGCTGGCTGTGCTGAGGACTATGGGTAGAGAAAGGCAGCTGGTTCTGTCAAAGGTCCTAAATTCTAGACACAGGAAGCCTCTTGTTTGATCTGTATTTAATTAGCAGAAGTAAGTAGCATACAAGGAAGCTCTAGATACTAGCAAAGCAACTTGGGCACTAATATCTATGAGAAATACTAATACAATACTATAGTCTTACAGCAGTTCAGATCAGTGGAGAGAGCTTAATTTGTATCTGATGTGCTTTCAGTTGGCAGTTATTTCTCTAGTTCTATAGACTCGACTCAACTAGATGGCAGCCAAGGGTGGGGCAGGTGAAGAATTTATGCAAACAGTGAGTGAGATGAGGCCAGCCGGGGATGTGACAGACCACCATCAGCCAAGGAAGTGAAGTCTGGGGGCGCTTATCAAAAAGAAAACTGGGAGGAGCCAAGGAGGATTCCTAAGTCACTGGAATATCATTCTCTTGTCCCCACAGTTCGGCAAGACCCTTTGCTTGGGAGCAGTGAAACCTTCAATAGTTTTCTGCGTCGAGCACAACAGGTGAGGCTTTGGGTGGAACCAAGATTGAAGGGAAGGCCCTTCCTGTAGGGCCATGTCACTTTAATGAGGTGACTGCAGAGGAGTCATCCTTGCACCATTTTTTATGGAATGGGGTTTCTGCTGTACCAGTGAAATCAAGGAAACCCAGCCTGCAATTAAGCAGCCGAGAAGACCCCAGACAGACATAGACATAGAGAGTTGGGCAGGGGTTAACAGAGTGGTGCCTTGCATTCCCAGGAGACACAGCAGGTCCCCACAGAAGAGGTCTCCTTGGAAGTGCTGCTCAGCAATGGACAGAAAGTTCTGGTCAATGTGCTAACTTCAGATCAGACTGAGGATGTCCTGGAGGTGAGGTGCTTGTTCTGTACTACCCCTCCACCCTAGGCTCCCCAGTGTGGGGGTGACTGGAACCAGCTAGTGTGATGAGCTGTACTTCTTTCTCTACCCCAAGGCTGTGGCTGCAAAGCTAGATCTCCCAGATGACTTGATCGGATACTTTAGTCTCTTTCTAGTTCGAGAAAAAGAGGATGGAGCCTTTTCTTGTGAGTTTTTTTGTACTTCACTGTTTTCTCTGTGCTTCCGGTAGTGACTGTGCCTCCGTCTCTCATGGCATTTTCCTTATTTCTTTAATCCGTAGTTGTACGAAAGTTGCAAGAGTTTGAGCTGCCTTATGTGTCCGTTACCAGCCTTCGGAGTCAAGAGTATAAGATTGTGCTAAGAAAGAGGTCAGGGCCGAGCTTGGAGGACGGGGAGGATGCTAGATTGAATTATTGGGCCATGGATTGAGACAGAATTATCTGGTTAAGGGGATAGCACTGGGTGTTTGTACCAGGCCTCACAAGCTTCCTCCCACCATACCACCACTAGTCTGGTAGTTCTAGATTGTTCCTGTTTTGCCCCTATTTTCCATTCTACCTCCTGCCTTACCCCAGCTTAGTCCCATTACCTCTTTCCACTCCTTCGCCTCACAGTTATTGGGACTCTGCCTATGACGACGATGTCATGGAGAACCGGGTTGGCCTGAACCTGCTTTATGCTCAGGTGAGCTTGGAGCTGCCTCAGAACCATTCCCCTGAAAATGACTCTGGTGTCCTGTGCTGCCAAGAAAACTCCTTTTATGTCTTTTCTCTCAGTTCATGAGGGAGTTCTTAGAATACTATCAGGGTACCTGGCACAACATCTACTACTCTTCCTACTTTGTAAGCTGGTAATGGTCAAGGACTCATTGCAAAGACGTCATTCAAGTGTGGGGCTTAGGAGTCAGGCTGGATAGAGGTAACTGGACACTTTGCCTTGGACCTCTGACTGGGAGCCCTTGTCTCTGCTGTAGACGGTATCAGACATTGAGCGTGGGTGGATCCTGGTCACCAAGGAGCAGCACCGGCAGCTAAAATCTCTGCAAGAGAAGGTCTCCAAGAAGGAGGTAAGCTCTGCCTGTCTCTCTCCAAGGGGTTGCTTCTCTGAGCTGCCCTGCTTCTTCCTCCTGACCCATCCCATGTATCGACTGGGTTTCAGTTCCTGCGGCTGGCCCAGACACTGCGGCACTATGGCTACTTGCGCTTCGATGCCTGTGTGGCTGACTTCCCAGAGAAGGACTGTCCAGTAGTGGTGAGCGCAGGCAACAGTGAGCTCAGTCTCCAGCTCCGCCTGCCTGGCCAGCAACTCCGCGAAGGCTCCTTCCGGGTTACCCGCATGCGGTGCTGGCGGGTCACCTCCTCTGTGAGTTGGGGTGGGAGGGAGAGGCCTTCAGGATGGGGGCCAGTCAAGCCTTGAGCTTCAGGAATGGGCTGGGCTGCAGTGGGTCAGGGAGCATGGCATATTGGTCAGAATGGACGCAGCCTGATCCCCCTTCCTCTCCCAGGTGCCATTGCCTAATGGAGGCACAAGCAGCCCTGGCCGGGGCCGGGGTGAGGTGCGCCTGGAACTCGCTTTTGAATACCTCATGAGCAAGGACCGGCTCCAATGGGTCACCATCACCAGCCCCCAGGTGTGAGCCCACCCTCAGGCCTCTGGACCCCATTGCACCGCCTCTCTTAGATACCCAAGTCTAGGGCTTCCAGGACTCCATGTGAGTGGGAGCCCTTGTCTTAGGGGTGCTGGGCTCAGGACGACAGCTCTAGTCAGGCTGAGCTCTCCTCTTTCCCCTAGGCTATCATGATGAGCATCTGTTTGCAGTCCATGGTAGATGAACTGATGGTGAAGAAATCTGGCGGCAGCATCAGGAAGGTAAAAGCAAGTGTGGACCAGGCAGCAGAGAGGCTCTGCTTGCTCTCCCTTGCCTTCTTTCCCAGGTGTGAGGGAGGGGGAGTGATGGGGATTCCAAGGGGAGCAATCCTGCCCTCATCAGTGCCTTGTATCTCTTTCCCCAGATGCTGCGCAGACGGGTGGGGGGCACCCTGAGACGCTCCGACAGCCAGCAAGCAGTGAAATCCCCACCGCTGCTTGTAAGTGTGTCAGTACCCTGGCCCCTTGCCTCATTGTCCCACAATGAAGTGCCTGACACCTCTGCCTCTTCCTCAGGAGTCCCCTGATGCCAGCCGGGAGTCCATGGTCAAACTCTCAGTGAGTTTCCCACGAGGGTTGGTGAGGTGGGTGTTTGTAGGGGATCACAGCCCTCTGTGCCCTCTGACCCCACCCTGCCTTTGTTACAGAGCAAGCTGAGTGCCGTGAGCTTGCGAGGGATTGGCAGTCCCAGCACAGATGCCAGTGCCAGTGATGTCCATGGCAATTTCGCCTTCGAGGGCATTGGAGATGAGGATCTGTGATCTCCAGTGCTAGGATGTCTGCCCTCTACCCCAGAGGAAAAAAACTTGCCCTGTGCCTGTATCCCCCAAGCCGGGGGTTCTTTTCCTTCCTACCTTCCCCTTTTCTCCTCTCGGCCAGGGGCCTCCTAACCTACCTTCCCTTTCCCCTTGGGCTGGCTGCACAAAGGATTATCCCCTTTTGCTGGCCCTCAATGCCAAATTAGCATTTAGTATTTTGCACAAAAGTCCACGGGACCATGGCTACCTGCCTTGGGGAGGAAATGCAGCTCCCCCCAGCTGCTTCTGGCTCCTCAGGGCCATGGGCCAAGGGGATGGGCAGAGGTCTGTGTATGGTCTGGCCCAGCTTCCCATCATTAAACTCAGCCTGATTGCTGCCTACCTCTGGTTCCCTCTCTGCCCCTGCTTCCCCCATCACAGCAGGGACTGCTGTGGTAAGGGTGAGACTGAGCTGTGCTTGCCACTGCCAATTCAGCATAGACATGGCTTTGTTAGTGTTTCCTTTATTATAAAGCACTGAAATAAGTTAAATAAACAGGTGGGAGGCTGGGCAGTCCCTCAGCCAGTTTCTCCACAGCCCCTGGGAGCAGTGGAGGTGAATGCAGGGCCCTTCCTGCTGAGCTCATGAAATGCATCAGTCAAGGGAAGGCCCCCCCTGGTCCATATGGGCCCCCAGGTTATGGAGTTTGGGCTGGTCCATATAGTGCCTAGGTTAGTCTGTGTGGAGCCCCTGGCCAGCGGGGGAAGGTGACTTCTGGTCCGTCTCTATAAAACATACAGGAAGGTCAGGGCTAATCCATATGGCCCTGGGGGAGAACCTAGTTCAGGGTGAGTCTGTGTGGACAGCCCGACTACCAGGGGTGCCCAGGGCTGTCGGACCCCGAGAGCTCAAAACAGAAGTGGGGCTGTGAGGTGGTGCCCAGCCTTCAGAGGCAGAGAGGCCAGGCCCTCCTGTGCCACCATGCCCATGTACTTTCTGGTGGCGTTTGTAGTTGTCCCAGTGGCCTGTGGTATAGGCGCAGGTGGCACAGCGGAAGGGCTTCTCGCCTGTGTGCCGCAGCATGTGACGTTTGAGGTTCATGCTCTGGTTGCAGCTGTAGTTGCAAAGACTACACCGAAAAGGTTTGTCCCCAGAGTGAATGCGACCATGACGCTTGAGGTTGGCCAGGTTGCCACAGGCATAAGGGCAGAGGGGGCACTTGTAGGGCTTCTCTCCTGTGTGGACGCGCTGGTGCCGTTTCAGGTTATCCAGATGAGCAGAGGCGTAGGGACAGCGGGCACAGCGAAAGGGCTTCTCACCACTGTGTGTCTTCATGTGCCGGGCTAGGTGGTTGGGATAGTGAGTGGCAAAGGGGCAGAGGCTACAGGCAAAGCCTTTGTCACTGGGGCCCTGGGGCCCTCCACTAGCACCTCCTCCAGCCTCTCCTTGCATGCAGCGCCCACACATGGCAGCTCCCAGCCTACTACCCTCCCCCTCCTCCAGCTCTTGTCCACAGTTTCGGCAGGTCCAAGGGAACAGCAGCTCTGGCAGTGGTTCTGATCCAGTCCCACATAGGCTCTCCCCTTCACCCCGCAGCTGCCCACAGTCCGGCAGGAAACTGGCACCACCTGGCGGCACGTGGAGGCTCAAATCTGGAAGCAGCAGAGCATCTGTGGGGACAATGAGACCTGGTGAATCCCAAGTACCCACCCTTAGGGCCACCCACCTGTGTGCTAGATCTTTGGTCCCCAGCATTTTACCTTCAGGTCGCCGGGGCACTGTCCCCTCCTGCTCTGTGGGACTGGGAGGCCGGGTTGGACGAGGAGCACAGCAGCGGAAACCACAGGTCGGGCAGGGAGGAGTGGGGGGCCCTGCATGGGTGCGCTGATGCCGCCTCAGGTTGCCCAGGCTGCTGCAGGCAAAGGGGCAGTGGGGACAGCGGTAGGGCTTCTCGCCAGTATGGGTGCGGGTATGTCGTGTCAGGTTGACGAGCTGGGCTGAGGCGTAGGGGCAACGGCCACAGCGGAACGGCTTCTCCCCGCTGTGTGTCTGCATGTGCCGCTTCAGGTGGCTCGAGTAGTGGGACACGAAGGCGCAGAGGCGGCATGAGTATAGTAGCCGTGGGGGCAGCGGGGCCCCCCCACCCGGCCCTCCTGACCCACAACACGGCCCCTCACCTGTCAGCCCCCCACACAGCTGGCAGGCTGGGCCTGGCCTCTCACCCCTGGCCTCCCCTGGACCCCTGGCTGGCTCCTCAACTTCACTCTCGGCACTTAGTGCCCGGCCACCCCCAGACTCGTCGTCACTCAGCCCGTAGGGAAGCCCAGGCCTGGCCGCCAGAGAGTCTCCTGGTGAGGCAGACATGGAAAGAGACATCAGTGTTGGGTAGGATCTGACTCCAAACGCCCTTTCTCACTTGTGATCTTTCTATTTGCTTGGCTCCACCCTTCCCTTCAAAGATCCCCAAAATTACAAATTGTCTACTGCTGAGCCTGGACTAACCTAGTGAAGACACAGCTGTGCCTAATTCTACTTCAAGGAAAAAGATTAAGTGCTCACAGTGGATCACAGATTAAAAGGAATCAATAATGTCATTAACTGATTCTTAGGGTTAGAGTAAAACTACACCAGGCAGAGACCTGAGACCTTTTTCTAAGCTCTATATTAGTAATGTCCCTTTTAGTATGGACCTGATTATAAAATTAAAACTCAAGTGAGGCAAAATTTGGAGGGAAGTAGAAACAAAATAATACATGTAATACCATTTCTAAACCTAAAGGATAGATTCTTTTCCATGGGTTCCTTCATTGACTTTCAAAAACATTTTTCAGCAAATTTGGATGGGGCAATGCTAAAATCACAGGGGAGGGGAATGTGGAAGGATACTTGAAGGTAGAGACTAAATACAAAAGGAGCTTATGCTGCAGGTGAAAGGGATATACTAAGTACTAGCTTGAATGAGAAGTTGCTTCTCTGAACCTTTCGGAAGTAAATTCACATAAGGAATGGCCGATGGAGTGGAACAAGGTTATAAAAAGGGCATTTACTTTTAACCAGAGACTTGTCCACTGTCCTATTCATACCACCTTTGCACCAGAACGTCACCTCAACAAAGTAATGAAGCTGGGTGGACAATTAAGCAAGTGAAGAAATCTAGCTCAAATCTAACCTAAACCAGCGGTAGCTTGTGGCAGGAAACGGTGCTGTGGTCACTGGCATCAAACCCTACCCCGCCTCCTGAAGGGCTGGGGTTCCAGCGATCACCAATCCTTATCCAAGTTCCCAAAACCCACCTTCAGAGTCTCTCTCGAAGCCCATGAGCTGGTCGCTGTTGCCGTCACCTTCCTCCTCTTCCTCTTCCTCTTCCTCCTCAAACTCCAGATCCTGGCCTAGTAGCAAATCACTTTCCAATACTAGGGCCCCAGGTCCTTCATCGAGGGAGTCTTCGGTATCCACTGAAGAGGGGAGGGGACTTGTAGACTTTCCCTCAGGACCCATGCCCATTATTCGCATCCGGGGGCCCTGACCTCGTGGACCGTACTGCCCAGACCTGTAGACCCTCCCGGGTTCCTTTAGGACCTCGGTAGGAAGCTGAGAGTCCAGATCACCTAACCTATCCCTCAGGAGTCCCCCTCCACCCCGACCTGAACCCACCCCACTGACCCCATACCCGCTCCTCCCCCCATCGCGTCCCCTGACCCCTGACCTTTGACCCCTTCGCATTTCACCGGCTGAGGGTGGCTTTGCTTCCTTCGGGGCATCGTGACCGGCTCCAGCCCGACGCTCCTCTGGCCTGCGGCCGCCCGGCCCCGCCCCTCCCAATTTGGTGCACCACCCGCCCTTCCTCTCAGGGCCCGCGAGCCGCGCCCATACAGCGGCGCGGGCCCCGGGCAGCCCCCGGCCCTGGCCCCGGCGCCCAGCTCAGGCCGCTCCCGCCGCCGCTGCCGCGTCCATTCATGGAGCCCCCTACCCCCCCTACGGAGACCAGCTGGTACCTCCGTACTCGCTTCCGCTTCCGCTACCGCAGAGCCTCACGGGACGCGTAGTCCGCGGAGAGCGGAGGCAACAAGGCTTTCACAGCGTGACCAGGAAGTGATTGTGACGAAAGGAAGTAGGAGGGCCAATCAGAGACCAGATCGAAACCGGCTGGCAAAGCCTTAAGCCCAGCCCCAGGTTTTGTTAAAGGGCCACCTGGTAGGTCCCGAACCCTCCAGGGAGGAACGAGGAAATTATTGCTGGCTCCAGGAAGGGGTAAGGACAAGCGGCGACGCCAGGCAGCCTGCCAGCAACTCAGGGAATTGAAACACCTGGGCCCTGTCTCCCGGAGACACTGGCCTGCGTGTGGGACCCGCGCCGCGCACACACGCAGGCTAGGTAGATGCCACTGATGGAGCAGTCTGAAGCCCAGGCAACCTGGGTGGCCTAGGCAGGGCGGCAGGAAAGAAAAAAGGACACCATGGGCGTGATTAGGTTTTGGCCTTTAGTCTGAAAAAGTGTTGATTGAAAGTGTACAACAGAGAGCGGGTGCAAGCGGCCGGGGCCATGGAGCCGCCAATAAAAAAGAATGTCCTTAAATAAAGTTCACAAGAGTAAAAACCAGAACCTCCAGTCCTTCCCTCCAACACAACAGAGCACAGGCACAGAACCGGTGAGGAGCCCCAAGGAGCAAGGAGGAGGCTGGGGAGAACAGTGGAGGCTCCCGGGCTGCCGTGTGGAGGGAGAGCCCTCTTTGGAATGGGCTGAGCGAGGCCACCCAGTTCCCCCTGCACAGCTCACAACCACTGCTAAGGCTAAAGGAAAAAGACAAAACTCAGTCTCAGGTCCAGAGGGCTCAAAAAACAGTCTAGGGGGACAGGGGTCTGGACAACCAAAACCGCTAGTCCCGCCTGGCCTTCTTCTTCTTGTCACTGTCGCCATTTTCTTCAGCCCCCTCAGTAGAAAGCACCTCCTCCAGTTTCCGCTTGCCACTCTCTGGCGGAAGCTCTGCTGTGTTTCGGGGCTTGAAGCAAATGATGATGCAGGTCATGTTGTCACACCCTGTACCGTCCCCAGAAGTGTCTGGTGCCAGGCACTGATCCAGCAGCTACAAAAGGGATGGGGTAGCACAGCTTCAGGGTTTGAACACCTTCCTGGAAACCTAAAGTCCCACGAGAAAAGCTGGCCCTGCCAGACAAGGTGGCAGAAGGAAATGGGCAACAATTATTACAAAATGGTCCATTTCCTAGTCCATGAAGCATATGGGTCAGTCAGGGAAATGAGGTAAAGTGGAACTTTCTAGTCAGGTTTTGGCATCTGTCACTAATGAATGATACTCCCAGGCTCTCTAGTCTCAGGCAAAACCTTGGCTATGCAGACCACACACTCACTCTCCTCCACCCTGGGACTCACCTCTTCCACAATGGATGACAATAACCGAAGCTTTCCATTTTCATCACGCTGGCTAATCTTTGACTGAATAAAGTCTACAACTTCCTGGCTGCTCATCACATTCCTGGGATCAGAAACAATAGTCAGGATCTTCATTAGTCCCACCAAAGCAGAGTTGAGAAGTGTGGACAGAAGTGACAGCCCGAGCCAAGGTTAACACAGAGCTTGTCCTCAGCTGTGCCTTAGGCTTGGGGGTCTTGATACCAAGCTGTCTGCCTAGGCTCTACTCCTAGAGCAGCTGGAGAAAAGGTACTGAATGCAGCCATTCAAAGAATGATAAAGCCAAAGTAGCTCAGAGCCCTACACAAGAAGTAAAATGCTGCAAAAAAGGAATTAAGGCATTCTGCCAGTGCTCACCAGATGCCATCACAGGCAATGACCATAAATTCGTGGTCATCAGTGAGAGTCAGCACCTTGATGTCAGGAAGGGCTGAAATCATCTGTTCCTCAGGGGGCAAGTTCTTGTTCCTCTTGTAGAAGTGGTCTCCTGAAGTCAAGGAATAGTTGGTTAATGAGTAGTCTAGGCACTTCTCACAGACTTGCATTTGAAGCCTTGCCATTCATTTTCCCCCCTTTCCATAATCTAGTGGACGAGAATTGAGTTCTAGTATTTTTAGTTTCAGCCCTGACTTTAGATTGTTTAACTAACCTCCTTTTTTCATCATCCGGAAATGATACTCATCTTACCTACCTCATAGAGACATTTAAGGATACAGGTGGTAGATACAAAAATATTTGGAAAGGTACAAGGGCTATGAAGATTAAAGGTTGCTACTACATAGTCTGAAACGGAGAACAAGACCCCAGAAGTCTTTCCCATGGTTCCTTAGCCCTTACCGATGGCTCTGGAGAGGTTGAGACCCCCGTTGACTCGCCCATCCATGGTGACCTTGCCACCGGCATTCTTGATGCGTGCTAGCTCCACTTCATCCTCCGGCTTGTGGTCATAGGACATGTCTAAAGCTTTGCCAGCCTCGGACACCACACAGCGAGAGTCTCCTGCATTGGCTACAATCAACTGCTTCCCTCGTATCAGAGCCACCACTGCTGTTGTACCACTGTCAGAGCCAGGCTTAAGAGGAAAAAAGGAAGCACCATGGGAGCTACTGGACACGAGCCTCTCATCACTGCTCCCCTGACCAGTCACCTATGCTCTCTCCTCTCACTAGGACCACCAAGAGAACTTTAACAAACTCAAGGAGCATGGACTTAATCTTTCCAGAGACTGTATCATACTCTCTCCCTTTTCTGAGACAATTCTACCCCAAAAACATAGTTCCCCTTGCAGAATGAATCCCCCCCATGACCATGACTTTAGTACTAAGATAGCAAGGGGATCCCCTCTCCCAAAATCAGAATCGGGGTACTCACACCTGCCTCTTGGTTTTTCTAAACTTACTGCTCCCCTTCCCCACACACCTCCTCTTTGCCTTCCATCCCAGGGACCATCATCTCCTCCTCCTCTTCCTCATCCTCTTCAGCCTCCTCGGTGTCATCCTCATCTTCCTCTGCTTCTTCGCTGCTGTAGCCATCCTCTTCCTCACTGCATTCCTGCCGGAGGGATGTTCCCAGGCCACTGAGACTGGGATGACCCCCTGCCCCACTCCCCCAACTCCTACTCAAAACAAAGAGGCCTTGCTGAAAACAGGTCCTCAGAACACTAAAAGATTCAATTATATGATCATGGTGAGAAATTTGGGGGAAGGGGTGGGTATTAACTGATATCCTAAACTGGGCTCAGCAGGCCCTAGCAGAAAGCCCTGGGGAAGGCCAAGGCAGCCAGCCAAAAGCACCTTCTAGGCAACATAACCAGAAAATAAGTTGCCCAGAAAAGGAAATACCCAAATATCCAAAGTAACAACCACCATCTTCCTGTTCTCTCTCTAGGAGATAAACTCTGAAACGCCAGAACTAAATCTATTTATCATCAAAGGAAGGGGTAAGAGGGCTAAAGGTACCTGTGTTGGTGGAGATAATGAATTCAAGAAAAGTTTAGAATATAGTGGGTCGTGGGGGATGATGTCAAAAAGCTATGGATGGCAACCGAACAGGCCCTCTCTATAACTTGAGCATCTCTGTGCCCCTACAGGCCCTTACCTCGCTGTCTTCCTCTTCCTCCTCCACCTCATCTGACTCATCCTCACTGTCCTCAAAGAACTTGGACTTAGAAACTCGAGGCAGCTTGTCGGAGGCGGACGAACAGGAAGGCCCAGCCTCACCAGCGGGAGTGCCAGGCTCACCGCCGTGGCCTGCCTCTGGACGTTCCGAGTTGGAGGAAAGGCCTGTGTGGGCCTTGGCCGTGGGGCCATTTTCCTCTGAAGAAGATTCCCTAGATGGGTCCTCAGATCCTGCCTCCCCATTGAGGCCCTGGGACCCTGGTTCCTCGCCTGTCCCAGCTCCAGATTTGCTGTGGGGAGCACCCTTGTGACAGTTCTGCCCGTAGCGTGTCAGCAGCTCTTCAATAGTCATGGTAGCCTCTTCATGCAGCAGTGCAGCCTCCTCATTGTCCACTGCAGGTAAGAGGCTAAATCAGCGCCCCCATGCCAGACTCCTCATGGGATTAGTCCCTCTCACTGATCTACTGCATTCCAACTTCCCCCCCGCCCACTTCCTACCCCTAAGGGTCCTCTCAGTTATCAAGTCTCAGAGAAACCCCTTCGCTGCCATCCTTTGGCTTTTGTCTTTCATAGTCAAAGGAACAGTAATTACTATATTTTCCTTATCACCTCTCATTTTTTGTTGGTAAGTTAGAAACTGTTCTGGCTGAGGACCCAGGAAGCCCACAGTGCCAGTCTAGGCGTGCAGCCCAGGCTTAATGACTGGCTCCAGGGTTAATGACAGCCCCAGTCTTGAAAAAAGGTCACATAAACATTAATAAGAACCAGAAAGACCCCATCACAATCACAAAAGATAATGCATATATAAATGCTTACAACAGTAACAGTAGGCACTCAACAAAGGTTAATTCTCTTTCTCCTTTTCATAATCAACGTCTAATGCACAAGAACATAAGAGTTCTTTAATGTGAGGACTCTCCAGGTCCCTAGGAAGGTATCCTCTCTTAGAATGGATGCATAAATAATATATACTAAAGAACAGTACTTTTTCAAAAAGTTGATTTCCTCTCAAACAAGAGATGTTACACTCACCATCATCTTCATCAGCTACTTTTTCTTTTTCATCTTCATCCTCAGTGGGTCGCCCTGCCATCTGTGCCAGCTCCTTAATGACTTCCTCAGTGGTCAGTTTGGCATCAATAGCCAAGAAGGCATCTTCCAAAGCCTGCATATAAGCAAAAGAGTATGATGCCAGTGTAGGAAGAAGTACAGCAGGTATAAAATAAATCGCCCATATAGAATCCTGGTCACAAGGATGAGGTGCAAATTAAGAGTATGACCCGCAACACTATGAGACACTCATATATAAATAAAAAATAGTTCAGAGACCTGGGAATGATAAGGCAGCTCTAAAAAGGCCCAAGTGGGAATAAGCTCATTTTAGGCACAGGATTCTTTAAGAAGCTGGGTGGCAATGAGAAAGGAAAAGCCAAGCACTGGAAAACAAATGAAGGCCTACAGAAGTGAAGAGTGAACATTATGGGAAGACAGACCTTCTGTAGCTTGCCTTCTTTGTAGGCCTTCTGATCTTTGATGATATCAGGAAGATATTTGGCACAATACAAGGCAACTTCCTCTCCTAGAAGAAAGGTAAGGTCACCCAGAGCACCAAAAGTAATATAATATCTATATGCCATGTTGGAGTAAATCCTAATGGTTGAAGAGATGTCTATCTTAGCACAACCAAAACCCATTTAAAAGATAATGTTGGAGAAGTTCTGACTCAGAAAATAGATTTCACCATCACCTCTCTCAGGGGTATATTAATATACTCTTTGTTGTTGGGTATTTTTTTCCACTCGCATAGTTTTCAGTGGAGAAAAAAGTGCTTATGTAGGAAGAGGGTTTCCTGGATAACAACTAGGCCTGGTGAGATTATGAACCAATACAGTATCCTATTGGGAAGGAAGAATGGTAGAATAGAGAAAAAGAGCACCAGGCATGAAATGGTATCTGAGGACTAGAACCTTGGAAAGTGAAAGAAAAAAGGACCTGTTCTTGTCCTGTAAAGTCTGGAATTAGAGTGTGAGAATGTATCCAATATGAGCTGTTAAAGTTACCTCCATGTCCATCGTAGACAGAAAACATGGCTGTCTCACTGTCCAGCTCAGGAATACAATTGTGAGCATCCTAGGAAAAAGAAGAGCATTAATTAGCATTTCTTAAGGTCAAAGGATATTCTTCTTTGTGCACCTCAAGTCATGGGGATCATACTCACACCTTAATCTCACTAACCCTTCCCTAGCTGGCCTCCATGGCCTACAAATAAGAAAGGAAGATGGAACAATAAACTAAGAAAAGTACAGGGGAGGGAGACAGGAAGAAGAGTAAGGGAGGGATGGGGAGGAACAAAAGGAAGGAGGAAGGGGAGAAGAGAGATGAATCAGGTCACCACCTCTGCAGTCCAGCATACTCAGCCTAGGAGATCTCAGTCCAGATGGCAGAATATTTGGCTGCCGGAACTCTAGATCTGACCTTTTTGGATTTGTGGCAACTACAGGAAGAACTGGAATAAAGGATCTTTAAAGTCATTTCTAGAGCCACTCCATGAATCACTGAACTTCAAGGAAGAAAATGCTAGGGAAGGTAGTACAATGAGACCAGAGGGCATTACCAATCTAAAAAGTTTCTAGGAGAATCCTAAAACAGCCTGAGTGAAAGCACTAGAAATTTGTAGAACTATATACATGTACACTATGCCCTCCCCACCCAAAACACTATCTAAACACCTTCTTCAAAGTTTTAACTCCTTCAAGAAGTTAACCTCAGGGTAGGCAGAGGATGTATTTACAAAAGAATATCTTCCCAACAAGTAATGTTATTATACTGTGCTGTGTTTAGTACTACCTGGAATTTGCAATGCCCCAAGTAATCAGCCTTCCCATCTCCTACCCCGAGCCAGGAATGAGGTATATCATTTGACCCTGACCACAAAGCATACCTGAAGAGGAATTTGTAATGGTCTGCCACCCAAACTAATATTCCAGGTTAAGCTACAGTTTAACCGAGACGGTTACACCTAGGTAAACAGGTGCCACAGCTTACTCTGCCCCATCTTGGAAAACAACCCAACCTTCTTTTCAGGTGCACTCCACAAACAAAAAGGTTTTAATCAAATATTTATTTACTTTGATTGATTATCCTCGTATAAGTAATAGCTTCTTTCCTCTTTCAGGCCTTAACATTTTAAAATTTCTAATTGTACTAATAGTTAGGAAATCTGAGTGCAGTGTTCTTCTGTTATCCCTGAAATAAGACTATGCCTTCACTATACGAGTCTAGGAAAAAAAGTTATGTTAAGGTAAGGAAGGAGAGCATCAAAAAAATACCCAGTTCTGTGTGTCCCTCAGATTGTCTCCAGACAAAAAGTGCCCCAAAAGCTAATGGGCTGCCACAAGTGGCCCTTGATGGCCTATCTGTGGTCATCGCCAACTGCCTCTTACATCCCCCGGATCTGGAGAGTGTCACCTTCGCCCTCTTCCAATCACTCTACCGCCAGCCACAATGGTCTCCCTTTCCTCAAGCCAGGATTTATTACTGAGCCACCTTCTCTTCTCACCACCATTCTCAGCACCCTCCTGCTTGCTTTTATGATTGTCTATTTCTCCGCATCCTCTACCAGTAGCTCTCAGACTTTAATGTACTTAAAAATTCATTTGTTCATTCATTCATCAAATATTTGAGTGTCCCTTATGTGCCAGGATGAGTTCTGAGAGCTTAGAATAAATATCAGTCAATAAAATAAACCCCCACACTTCATACAAAACTTACATTCTAGTGAGGGATATAAAAAATAAACACAGTAAGTGAATAAATCATATAGAATGATGGTACAGTTCATATGGGAAGATGGCAGTGATATGGAATAAAGAAAAAGTAGAAGGAAGACTAGATTGTAGTACAGAAAAGCAGTGGGAGAACTCAATCAGCATGGGCCACAGTGTTGTACAGGCATGCTAAACCCATTAGAAATTGTACCTCAAGCCCTGGCCTATGTGGCTCGGTTGGCGCATGGTGCCATAACCAAAAGGTTGTGGGTTCAATACCCGGTCAGGGCATGTACCTAGGTTGTGGGTTCAATTCCCAGTTCAGGCGCATGTAGGGGGCCAATCGATGCTTCTCTCTTGCATCGATGTTTCTCTCTCCCTTCCTCTCTCTAAAAGCAATGAAAAAATGTCCTCAGGTGAGAATAAAAAAAAAAAAGAGCAAGTCCTGGCTGATGTGGCTCAGTGGATTGAGCGCTGGCGTGCGAACCAAAGAGTCGCCAGTTTGCTTCCTATCAGGGCACATGCCTGGGTTGCGGGCCACATCCCCAGTAGGGGATGCATGAGAGGCAACCACACATTGATGTTTCTCTGCCTCTCTTTCTCCCTTCTCCTCTCTCTAAAAATAAATAAATGAAATCTTAAAAAGAAAGAAAGAAAGAAAGAAAGAAAGAAAAAACCTGTATTTCAGCAATCACTACCTAAGTCATGCTATGTCTAATTAGCTTCAGGAAAAATGGTATGTCATGTTAATGCTGACTTTAATTTTGTTGTTTTTGTAATGTGGTTTGTTGGCATGGAATTTATATGCAGTTTTATATTTGTAAACATTTCAGTAACATTAAATTAAAATCGCTTTAGCCCTGGCAGGTGTGGCTCAGTGGACTGAGTGCCAGCCTGTAAACCAAAAGGTTGCCGGTTTGATGCCTAGTCAGGGCACATGCCTGGGTTGCAGGCCAGGTCCCCTGCTGGGGGCATGCAAGAGGCAACCAATCAATGTATTTCTCGCACAATGTATCTTCTCTTCCTCTTTCTCCCTCTCTTCCCCTCTCTCTAAAAATAAGTAAATAAAGTAAAATCATTTTTAGTAAAGGCTGGAGTTCCACAAGTATTGCTTTCTTAAAAAAAAATAATAATCCATGGAAGATCTCCAAGGTATTTTGTTAAATAAAGCAAACTGCACACTGATATATTTAGTAAGCTTTTTGTCTAAGAAGAGGAAGCGTAGGAATATGTCTTTCCATACTGTACTACTACAAGAATACACAGAAAAATGAATAAAAGCAATTAACTGTGTTAACTATGGGAGGGCACTAGAGTGCAGAGGAATGGAAGCATGGCTGAACTACATGAATATTCAGCTTTTTCAAAAGTAAATTAAATATTTTTTTAAATGTATTACTAAAATTTGAGAAACTGGTCCCACTAAATCCACTTTTTTGGTAGGGGAGGGAGGAGCAGGCTTCCTGCCCACTCCTTCACAGTGGAATAAGAGAATCAACTGTATTTCTCTGTCTTGCAATGCCACTCCAGATCACAGCTGTACCGTCTCTTTTTAACATACATCTCTACTTAAACCATCTTTTTGCCTTCCTCACCTGTTCCTCAAAAGAGCATATGATCTTGAAGCAGAAGATCTAGCTTCACTGAACATATGAAAAAATATTTAACCTCAATAGCAATCAAAAGAATGAACATTAAGAACAAGAAAACATCCTTTTCTGCAATTAGGATGAAAAAGATTAATAATATCCAGTGGTGGTAAAAGTAAAGTAAAACCATATTCTCATATTCCTTATCAACAGGAGTATAAATGAGTATAGCTTTCCTGGAGGGCAATTTAGTAACATGCATCAAAATTTAAAATGTGCACACCGTTTAATCTAATAATCCAACTTCTAAAAGTCTATTTTACCGAAGCAATAAGGGTATAAAGATATGTATAAGAATGTCCATTGCAGCATTATTTATAATAAAACAATCATAGCCATCTAAATGTCCATGAATAGATTAGATTACAAGCAGTACATTCCTGCAATGGAATATATGCAGCTATTAGAAATGATGAATTCAAGTGAATGGGGAAATGAGTTCATAATACAGGGTCTGGCACATATAATGCTCCTTCTTTATTACAAAATCTTTATTACAAAATCATAAGCATGTAATTCTGCAACATAACAATATCACATTCAAGCACACTATATGACATTTTAGGTGAAATGCTCAAATCAAAACTATAAATTATTACACCCATATTATTATCCTACAAACCACATTCAAGCAGGCATTACTTCTGCCAGATCCTGTATATTAAGTAATAGAAAGAAAAAAAAGTACCTGCATGGATATGCTAGAAGTCTGCAAGATCATGTATTAAACTTAGTGGAAAGTAAACTTTGAGTAGTAATTATTTTTTACATTTTTAATTTTTGTACAATAAATATTATTCCATTCTGAATAATAATAACACTAAGACCCATGAATTGGCCTAGAGTAGCCATGCTACCGTATACTGCATGATCCCTGGCCAACCATCTCTTGCATGTTAATTTCATTATCTATAAAATGGAATAAGAAAATCTTCCTTGCCCATATCTCCACAGGACTATTGTGAGGATGGTGCAAAACATGTCAAAGTCCTTTGTAAACTAGAATTTAACATATAAATATGTACATTCTGCTCTGAACTTTAGCACCTGGCTCACATTTTTCTTCTCTATGCTTACGCCCTCCATAAAGATTCATCTGCCCTGAGGTCTCATCTCCGAGAAGTACTCGGTATTACTTTGTCCACTTCTTAGTGAGGCTTTTTAAAGCTATGTTATCACTTGAAACTGTTCTATCTTCTCTAAGCACTTCAAATTCCCCTTTTACATCTTTGATCACAGACTCCCTACCTTTAGCCTTGCCTTTCTCTCTGTCCCTTTCTGAGCCAGATCCAAGTATTTCAACACTGTCTCATAGAAGCTAGAAAACCTCATCCAACCTTGTATAACCTGACCAACTGCTTCCTTTACCTGTGAATCAGAGCCACCAAGTATTGTATTCATAAGATGTCATGAAATCATGTTAATTGTGGTCACTACTACCATTTATCATGTTTTTTCTGTATTCTTCATTGATTCCTTTTTTGCTTTTTTTATTTTTTTATTGTTCAAGTCCACTGACTCTTAATTAACCACATCTTCCCTATTCTACCTCAAAATTTCTCCAGCTTTAACTAACCTCTCCTTCACTTTGTCTCAAAAGCAGTATTTCTCCTCTTTCTAGATTAACATTTCCTCTTAAACTCCTAAAACTCCTGATCTTCAAGCCCTTCCCTTCTAAGATCTTACTTCACAAAGCAGACAAAAATCTTAATAG